AGCACAACAGTTAACATATTGTTTAAGGCTCCACACAAGAGGAGCACAACAGTTAACATATTGTTTAACTCTCTACACAAGAGGAGCACAACAGTTAACATATTGTTTAAGGCTCCACACAAGAGGAGCACAACAGTTAACATTGTTCAAGGCTCCACACAAGAGGAGCACAACAGTTAACATATTGTTTAGGGTTCACACAAGAGGAGCACAACAGTTAACATATTGTTTGAGGCCCCACACAAGAGGAGCACAACAGTTAACATATTGTTTAAGGCCCCACACAAGAGGAGCACAACAGTTAACATATTGTTTAAGGCTCTACACAAGAGGAGCACAACAGTTAACATATTGTTTAAGGCTCCACACAAGAGGAGCACAACAGTTAACATTGTTCAAGGCTCCACACAAGAGGAGCACAACAGTTAACATTGTTTAAGGCTCCACACAAGAGCACAACAGTTAACATATTGTTTGAGGCCCCACACAAGAGGAGCACAACAGTTAACATATTGTTTAAGGCTCCACACAAGAGAAGCACAACAGTTAACATATTGTTTAACTCTCTACACAAGAGGAGCACAACAGTTAACATATTGTTTAAGGCTCTACACAAGAGGAGCACAACAGTTAACATTGTTCAAGGCTCCACACAAGAGGAGCACAACAGTTAACATATCGTTTAAGGCTCCACACAAGAGGAGCACAACAGTTAACATATTGTTTGAGGCTCCACACAAGAGGAGCACAACAGTTAACATATTGTTTAAGGCTCTACACAAGAGGAGCACAACAGTTTACATATTGTTCAAGGCGAAACTCGAGAGGAACACAAGACTCTCGGGTGCAAAATTATGGGCAGGCAAATCACGAAGAAAAGAAACATTTTCCAACAAATCTACTAAGACTATATTCTTGAATGATATCAAAGTATCTCCAGTTAAAAAATATCTCTATTTTACACTAAATGACCATGAAGTTGAAAATATTTAACAGGTGTAAAGTTGTAATCATGGGGATTTACTTTGTATTAGTGACGCAATTCGGTAACCTCATGCTGTATGAAGGAAGTTTCAAATTTCATTCACAACAGACATGACAAGATATTCTGCGTACACATCAATCTCTGCAATAATAATATGCATTGGTTATTTGGAGACCGCAAACGGAGACTCATGTAATGACAATCACATAAAACAGTCATGAACAGTGGACCGCGTCATCTCCAACACATTAATAACACATATTGCTGTAGGCCTTTGCAAAGAATTAAAACATTACAACTGAGAATTGTTTAAAAAATGTTTTCACCTATATGTGACTGACTGACTGAGTTTGGTTTTACGCCGCTTTTAGCGTTATTCCAGCAACATCACGGCGGGGGACACCAGAAATGGGCTTCACACATTGACCCATGTGGGGGATTCGAACCCTGGTCTTCGGTATGGCGAGCCAACGTTTTAACCACTAGGCTACCCTACCGCCCCTCACCTATATGAGGAATATAGAAATATGATAACCTATTCTGCAGCAAGAGAAGCTCTTGTTATATTTTGCGTATTATTAAAATATATTACATATTTAAGTATAAAATATTTATTAGGTAATACATACATGTATAAAATCATTACAACTAACATTAATCGATAATCATTATCTAAATATCGATAATCATTATCTAAATATCGATCGATTAAAGATAACTATCGAAGAAGTCTCTTTCTGAAAGAATTCAACACATTTCACATCACCTGTGAGTAGGGACATATTTATGCATGTTCAGAACATAATTTGAGAGAAGCCCTTGAACAAAGACCCAACTTTCTGTATCATGTGAGTAAATTAAAACTTTATTTTATCACAATAGTTTTTGTACGATATTATCGATGATGCAATTTTCACTCGATAATTTTCTTCCCATTGACAACATTTCCTATTATCGATTCTTTTAGTCAGCTCTAAACATTTGACTAGATATATATATAACCCATGAAGATCCGGGTTAGAACCCATGTAACCCATGCTTGTCGTAAGAGACGGATCGGGTGGTCAGGATCGCTGACTTGGTTGACACATGTCATCGTATCCTAATTGCGTAGGTCGATGCTCATGCTGTTGATCACTGGATTGTCTGATGCAGACTCGATTATTTAAAGACCGCAGTAATATAGATGGAATACTGCCGAGTTGGGCGTTAAACACCCAACCAACCAACCAACGACTAGGTACATAACTGAAGACGGCAAATATTCCCCTTGGTGCATCAGTTGATGGTTGTTATAATTATTCTGCATCAACTTTAGCCAAGAAATCCAAACATGGAGAAATGAGAAGACAACAAGTACTGACGTTTCTGACAGTGGTTTATTGCGATATTGTACAATCAAGCAAGACAGACCAGAGTATCTAACATGTTCTGCCAACCAATCCACAAAGTGTCTTCCATACAAACCAATTGACCACTTAACACTCGAAAAATAGACTTCCTATCTAAAGTACAGGGACTGTTCTTTGAAAATCCAGAAAGAGCCAACCTTAACATCAACGTGTTATGGTTTTCAAGATTGATAACGGATTGTCTGATCCCGAAAATCAGAGACACAGAAAAAATAATTCCAACTGAAATATCTTTTATAACAACTGATTCAAATAATCACACTATTGACTTTAAGAATTTTACATGTGTCCTGGACTAAACAAGTCAAATGATACATGCTTGGCAACCCGAATGAGTTAGTTTAGTTTCACCCCGCACTCAGCAATATTCCAGCTATATGGCAGCGGTCTGTAAATAATCGAGTCTGGACCAGACAATCCAGTGATCAACAGCATGAGCATCGATCTGCGCAATTTGGAACCGATGACATGTGTCAACCAAGTCAGCGAGCCTGACCACCCGATCCCGTTAGTCGCCTTTTACGACAGGTATGGGTTACTGAACATCAATATTCTAACCCGGATCTTCACGGGTGGCTTGGCAACCTGAACAGAAAGTATGGTTTTCCGCTGTTACAGCAATATGGTTGGCCCCTCAATATGGGCCTCACTCATTGTAGCCATATTGAGAATCGAACCCGGGTCTCCGGCGTGAGCAACCTAAACTGACTGACTGCCTGAGTTTGGTTTTACGCCGCTTTTAGCAATATTCCAGCAACATCACGGTGGGGGACACCAGAAATGGGCTTCACACATTGTACCCATCTGGGGATTCGAACCCGGGTCTTCGACGTGACGAGCCAACGCTTTAACCACTGGGCTACCCCACCGCCCCGAGCAACCTAAACAGGTCTTCAAGTACTATATACAATAAACTATGTCTATAACGAACATCCTCATAACGAATTGACAGATATTACGAACTCTCATTTGGTCCCGGCCACTTGATGTACATTTTAGTCGAAAGGTGAATGAGCTGCTGTAACAACAACTTAAATGTAGTGGTCCCGCTGAGTTCGTCATAACATAGTTTTCTGTATAGCTTCACTCGTACTCCAAGCTGTGTATGGTTACATTTTCCCAGTGTAAACATTCCTTAAAACGTTTTCAAAAATGACAATAAACAAAAGAATATATAATCAGTGTATGAAATAAGCCAAACACCCAGCCAGACATCTGGTCTGGTAACTTCTAAAACTTACCAGCCCAGAAGAGATTTAACCAGTTAGTGCCAGTGGGCATGTTATCGGAATATGTTTTTTCACCCGTCCATCGGGCTAGCTAGCTGTAAAATTAGACCGTCCGGCAGAAATCTAGCCCGTCTCGGGCTGTCCGACGTGCCTTATTCATACACTGATATAATTTGTTCTCACCCCATTTAACAAAATCAAAAACAAAATATTCTTGAGGGTCTATATTTGTATTTATGTCAACCACCGACCAGTGATTTTGAGAAAAGTGATTTGTAAACCAGAAAAGGAGTAATATGATGATACGGGTCAAGAAATGCTATAATGCTGTGAAACTAGAGATTACTACTTCTGTAATCTGGTCAGCTTCATCAACAGGTTAGTGAGCAGATGTTGAATATATAACAATGAAACAACTCTGTGAACATTACACGTTCTATGTCTATGAGGTGATATTGTGTGACATGTGAGGTAACACGTGATGAATAATGAATATGATGCTGCTCTCCTCCAACAACCATGTGATGCGAGTGTGCGTGTGTGCGTTTGATTTCATGCTGCACGAGATGGAAGGAAAGAATAATATCATGCACTCCAAAAGGCTTCTCCCCTCACGGAAAATTAACATGCAATGTTAGAAGACAAACATAAGCCAAGATTTTTAACCAAGGCAAGTGTGGATTATAAACTGATGTCAACTAAACGGCTGAAAGCTTAATTCATATTACAGTGAGTGAGTTTTCTTTTACGCTGCTTTTAGCAATATTCCAGCAATATCATGGGGAACACCAGAAATGAGCTTCACACATTGTAGCCATATTGGGAATCGAACATGGGTCTTCCGTGTGATGAGTGAACGCTTTAACCACTAGGCTACCCCCACTGCCCTCATGATTACAAAATGACATCACAGAACTGCTTATTGTTCTTAATGTCACTTGTGCACAGATCAGAACTGAGCTACCTCTTAACAGTTTCGAACTGACCAGTCATAATTAAGAAGGGTATCCCTAACCAAGTTACTGGACGTTCACAATTCATGGCTACAGACGATGACTTTAAAATGAGTGATCATTGTACCTCTTAACAGTTTATCTGACCAGGGCTGTGATGACTGTTGGGATGGGTGTTCCTAATCATACCATGAGAGACAGGGTATCTTGCACCCAGTGCATGTTATTCTTCACTTTACCTAACCATAGTTACTGGCCGTTCACAATTCATGGCTTGGGGGGTTGCCGATGACTTTAAGGTGTGTGTGTGTTAATATTGATGGTGTTGTTAACTCATTGTATTTCTGTCTGTGTTGTCAATTTTGTGAATTCACAACTTGCACTAAGCACTTTGGAAATAAACACAATGTGTTTTCAAGTCTGTGTTACAATTTCTGCATCATGTTTATTGACACTGTACATACATAACAATCATAACTATTTATGTTCAGATGAAAGCAGAGTGAGACATACTAAATGAAATTATAGGTTTTGGCTTTCATGTCACCATGTTGGGTGAGTGAGTTTAGTTTTACTGCTTTTAGCAATACCATGGAAATATCATGGAGGGGTGACAGCAGAAATGGGCATCACACATTGTACCCAAGTGGGGAATCGACCCGGGTCTTTGGCGTGACAAGCAAAAGCTTTAACCACAAGGCTACCCCACCGCCAGTCACCCTGCTGGAACACTTTCCAAATTTGATGATCTTGATTATCAATGCACTGAGAATTCCACAAGTGTTCAAAAATTGGATTCACATTTTTCAACCAATCAATGCAGCGCATACTTCCATTAGGTTCAACTGGAACTCATCTTTAAGCCATGTTGCATTTATTGTACATTAGAGCAGAGATACATAAGGCATTGGTACATTATGAACCAAATCTACAGTCGTATACTGTATAGTTGTTTTCCGTTAGTTTCTATTATCTCTTGCTTCGAGAACTTCTGCGTGTTGCTGTTGTGATCGCCCTCTGGCTGCGAGATCGGGTACTAACAGACACCTCTGCAATCTCCTCCTCCTCACCGTCCACTGGAGGGTCCGCATCGCCAGCCCTTACTGTAGCCGCGGTAGACTGTAACAGTAAAGTCGTATTTGGTGGTCGGGGAATTTGGAACCAGAACTGGTTCTTGAATATATGCTTGTCACTGGAAATTGGTACCAGAAGGAAACTGGGCCCTATCTCAGATATCGTAAGTTGGCGCTCGCAAAGGGAGACGGAAACCAGCTTAGTTCCGGAAGTAGCACCTCTTACAGGCACTGTTGTATGCCAAACACTGTTTTATTACATCTGTGTCATATGATATACTCACCGATGGTTTAATGTTCCACGGTTTTACTCTAGGTGCTCTGTAAAGAGGAGAACATAATATAATTCAGAGTGAGTGAGTGAGTGAGTTTAGTTTTACGCCGCACTCAGCAATATTCCAGCTATATGGCTGCGGTCTGTAAATAATTGAGTCTGGACCAGACAATCCAGTGATCAACAGCATGAGCATCGATCTGCACAACTGGAAACGACATGTGTCAACCAAGTCAGCGAGCCTGACAACCCTAGCCCGTTAGTCGCCTCTTACGACAAGCATAGTCGCCTTTTGCGGCAAGCATGGGATGCTGAAGACCAATTCTACCCTGGATCTTCACGGGTCATATAATTCAGAAGTTCATATAATTTCAATTCTCAGCTGATAGGAATGAAAAGTATGGAGTGACTGAGTTTAATTTTATTCCGCACTCGGCAATATTCCAGCTGTATGGCGGCAGTTTGCAAAATAATCAAGTCTGGACCAGGCAATCCAGTGATTGGGATACAATGAATTTGTGTCAACTGAATCAGTATTGATATGATCGAGTAACAGGCATCTGGTCACTTACAGAGGTGGCTTGAGTAACAGAAGTGTACTCACGGTTTGTCTGGAGAGTACATGTAGACAAGGTCATCTCGAGGCTTGTTCCGACCTCGACGCACTGGGGATGCTGAGGTTGCTGAAACACACATCATTCTGTTATTATGTGAGTGAGTGAATTAAAATTTAAAGACACATCAGTAATATTTCAGCCATGTCATAACCAGAACAATACAATACATTTTTAGACTACAAAATCTGTCGACAAAGGACAGTAAAAGAACTAGTCTATCACAGATTTACATTCAAACAACATAACTATACACACAAACACAATTAAAGGGCTACACATCGCCAACAAAAGAAGGTAGATCACCCTACTATGGACTTTGGGAACAAAGGCAGGGTTCTTCATGAATCATGCTTTTGAGTGAGAGAGAGAGTGAGTATGGTTTTACGCCGCTTTTAGCAATATTCCTGCAATATCACAGCAGGGGACACCAGAAATCGGCTTCACATATTGTACCCATATGGGGAATCAAACCGGGTCTTTGGCGTGACAAGCGAACGCTTTAACCACTAGGCTACCCCTCATGCTTTTGATGCAAGTCTTTAAGAGAATGATGTTAAGGACTGATACTTGTTCAGTTTGTGGGATTACAATCCTGCTTGTAGATGAGTGATAGAGGAATGAGTTGAAAGGACACTGGGTTCATATGCAGTAGATTGAACCTGGAGTCTTTCCTAAATTGTTAAGTCAATAAAAATGTGTAGTGCTGCAAATGTAATGACCCAAATAATTTACCTTTTCAATCCTGAAACAAAATAATATTCTGAATACATTCAGTTTTGTTCATTACACTGTTACAAACACCTCAACAGTACTCACCATCCTCCGATAGATCAGGATACACACGGACAGGGACCGAGGTTGGGATCGGGGGATGGAGGTATCAGCGTGATGTTCTGCTCGCCAGCGAACGTGATGTTGCCGAGGACATCTGAAGTCAAAGTGAGTGAGTGAGTGAGTTAGGTTTTACGACACTTTCAGCAATATTCCCGCAATATCACGGCGGGGACACCAGAAATGGGTTTCACACACTGTACCCATGTGGGGAATCGAACCCGGGTCTTCAGCGTGACGAGTGGATGCTTCAACCATTAGGCTACCCCACCGCCCCTAAAGTCAAAGTAGAGACACAAATACAGTATTTCGAGTTAGCATGGTCACATATCACTGCATATGGTGCCGTGTCAGTACTGTCATTGATATTTCTAGTAAACAGTTTCAATTCTTTCAATAGTTACTTTTTCAACAATAATGCAAATCACAAAAAATTGGAAATTAAATAAAAAAATCAAACAAGCCCACAGGGGTAGTGGGATGGCCTTGGAAAGGTTACTTGTCCTTATAAGATGGAAGACTTTCAAATTAATCTTTAAGCTTGAAATGCTGTACCATAGATCTACTTTGGTGATTTGACATGGAGAAACACGGATAATATATAATTCACAGCAAAGATAGACTGACTGAGTTTAGTTTTACGCCGCTTTTAGCAATATTCCAGCAATATCACAGCGGGGGACACCAGAAATGGGCTTCACACATTGTGAGCAAAGATAGAACACATTTAGCAGTTCTCATTGGCACTAACTATAGTAAGCAAGCACTGTATGCTGTTCTCATCAGTGGTAGTCATAGAGAGAGTAAGTGAGTTTAGTTTTACGCCACACTCAGCAATATTCCAGCTATATGGCGGTGGTCTGTAAATAATCAAGTCCGGACCAGACAAGCCCCTGATCAACAGCATGAGCATCGATCTACACAATTGGGATGAAATGACGTGTCAACAAAATCAGCGAGCCTGACCACTCGACAAGCATGGGTTACTGAAGATCAACGCTAACCGGATCTTCACCGGTTGGTGGTCACAGTGGCATATTGCAGTCTTCTCACTCAATCTGACAATATGAGAGAAGACCAGGGTGCGTTGTACGAAACAACCTAAGCACTAAGACTATCGTAAGTCTATGTTAAGGTATAGGAGTTATGATCACCTTAGGGCTAAGGTTGTTTAGTACAATGGCACCCAGGGCACGAAGCAACAAGATGCAACAAGATGCAACAGGAAGCAAGCAAGAAGCACTAGGAAGCAAGAATTACAAGCAGTCAAGTAAGTCTACAGTACAGGATGCACTATTGTTTGGTTAGATTCGCAGCACTATGAAGCAAGAAGCAGGACTATGATAAGCAAAAGCAGTCACTTTGTACAAGAAGCACTATGGAGCAAAAAGCACTATTATCCATGTGCACTAGGGAGCAAGAAGCAAAAGCAGTCAAGTAAGCCCACGGTACAAGGAAGCACATTGAAAAAGCACTGTGAACAGGCTAGCAGCACTAGGAGGCAATGGGGACAGATCTCACTACAAAGTCATAACCTGTGGGACAGGTGAGCTGTAAACATAGGAATATAATACTCAGTCTGGTTCAAGTGACAATATGAGAGAAGACCAGGGTGCGTTGTACGAAACAACCTAAGCGCTAAGACTATTGTAAGTCTATGTTAAGGTATAGGAGTTATGATCACCTTAGGGCTAAGGTTGTTTAGTACAATGGCACCCAGGGCACGAAGCAACTCGAAGCAACAAGATGCAACAGGAAGCAAGCAAGAAGCACTAGGAAGCAAGAATTACAAGCAGTCAAGTAAGTCTACAGTACAGGATGCACTATGAAGCACGCAGCACTAGGAAGCAAGCAAGCACGCAGCACTAGGAAGCAAGCAAGCACGCAGCACTAGGAAGCAAGCAAGCACGCAGCACTAGGAAGCAAGAAGCAAAAGCAGTCAAGCAAGTCTACGGTACAAGGAAGCACTATGGAGCAAAAAGCACTGTGAAGCAAGCAAGCACGCAGCACTAGGAAGCAAGAAGCAAAAGCAGTCAAGTAAGTCTACGGTACAAGGAAGCACTATGGAGCAAAAAGCACTGTGAAGCAGGCAAGCAGCACTAGGAGGCAATGGGGACAGAGACGGCTACAGTCCTACCTGTTTGAGCCAGGTGAGCTGTAAACATAGGAACTATGTAGATACTGTTGTCATATATACACCGGAATCATGCGTTGTCTAGTGTCATTGAGTAAATGCAGCTTTAAGCCTAAGGAATAATATTCCAGCTAAATCATGGCTGGGGGCACTTGTTTACATCCTGGACGTCAAGTGGTCTATATGTCCAATCATCTATCTGTTATGTCTTAATCCTTCTTAACCAAAATCATATCGTTTTAAGTTGATACTCTTCTACGTCAAGTCTATATCCTTCAAACACCAGTTCCATATCCTTCTACCTGTTTATATCCTTGAACCACAGTCCACATCCATCTACCCTAAGCCCATAACTTTCTTAACTCCAGTCTGTATGCTTCTACCCCAAGAATTATACTTCTACTAGTTTATATTCTTCCAACCCTTGTTTATATCCTTCTACCCTATGTCTATATCCTTCCAACCACAGTCCACATCCTTCTTGCCCATATTTACATCCATGCAACCCAAGTCCACATCCTACTGGTTTATATCCTTTCAACCCTTGCTTATAATTTCTCCAAAGTGTTCACATACTTCCAATGCCAGTCCACATCCTTTCTGCCCATGTTGAAATCCTTCTAACCCAGGTTAATATTCAGTTGACGAAAATCCGTACACTCCAGCCCATGACTATATTCTTCTATTCCATGACTGTACATTCTCCGGCAACCCATGAGGCCTTCCCTTTTAGTCTGTATCCTACAAGAGCTGCTACAGACTTATCTATGCTTGTGTGTTATCTGTAGGATGCTGCTGCATGCTCTCCTCAATGCTGGACACTTACCACTGGGAGTGCTGATGGCGCGACTTGTGTTCCGCGTACGCCGTGGTGGTGTTCGTATGTTCTCTCTATTGTTCTGCAAAATGTCACAGATTTACACATTACAGGCACGTAATCTTGAGGCATATTTCTTTTAAAACTATTCTAATCTTCATGAATATATTCATTTTATTGAACAAACTTGAAATTATTTCAATTTTTCACTTTCCAACTGACTGAAAGATTGAAACTAGGAATACAGAATAAGTATAGGGAGAATGAGTGTGATAACTTGCTGTTGTCTGCTTGAGCATCTTACTGAGTCGGAATTCTGATTGTTACATTGCTTAAAACTGAGAAAATGATACAATATCATTCATTTCATGAATTTCTTTATCAGAATGAAATAAAATAAACTATTTTATCATCTGTCCCTTGTGGATGAATGGATGAATGAAAGAAAGAATATTCTTTAGTCAATAAAGTTTTGTCATCATAAATATTAAACAGTCAGTCCCTAAAAGGACAAAACTGAACACCAAAAGTTATGTAGTTTCCAATATTTTTGGTGCTATGCATCTCTTTTCCTCAGGCATAATAAACGCTATGGAAACACAGAGAAAATATATTTCGCACCTCAACCTCACTTGGCGACACCTCTTGTTTTACCCCACCATCCTTGTCTGCCCATTTGACCGCCGATCGCCGACGTTCCTTGTCCTTCTCAGCAGCCTTGACCTTCTCCTTGGGTTTGGGTGAGTTCCGGACTTCCCGCAGCACCGTGTTGAGGGTCAGAGCTTTCCTGGCAGAGTTCAGGATAGCGAGCGTGGCCAGTGGAGTGCATCTGGTAAAGTTAATATATAGGGGCAGGTACATACAGGATATAGAAAGGGGTATATGAGGCGAGGTGAGGTGAGGTGAAAGTGGTTTAACGTCGTGCTTGAGAATATTTCGCTCATATGACGACGTGCATGCGTGTGTATGTGTGGCTGCTTGTACTAGCCCAGACTTAAGCTGGTTTTATAGTGCTAGCCCACTGAGATACCATGCCGCACTGAAGCAGGAATACCCCACTCAGACACATTATACTGACTCCAAGCCGACCAGTCCTTGGTGTACTCTTTAATGCCGAGAGCCAGGCAGGGGCCAACAAGTACCGTATTTTAACGTCTTTTGGTATGACCCAGTCGGGGATTGAACCCGCGACCTTCCGCTCTCCGGGCGGACGCTCTAACCTCTACACCACGGAGGCAGTTAGAAAGGGGTTATATTGGTATTCCAACAGTATGAGGGCACATTGAATGTCCCCAGTATGTTTATTGTTTGTTAACACACTTAACGCTTAATTCCAGGTACATGATGGAGGCCAGTATATAATAGTGTCTGGACCAGACAATTCATTGATTGACAATTTGAGCATCTAGTGAATATGAACACCTTTATGACATAGTAAGTTCATTCAACACATATCTTTTTTCACTACATTATGCAAACCAGGCAAGTACAGTGTGAGTGTGTGTGTTTTTTTGTTTAATGTCGCACTGAGCAATATTTAAGCTACATGGCAGCGGCCTTTAAAAAAAAAATTAGTCTGGACCAGTGAGTGAGTGAGTGAGTTTAGTTTTACGCCACACTCAGCAATATTCCAGCTATATGGCAGAGGTCTGTAAGTAATCAAGTCTGGACCAGACAATCCAGTGATCACCATCCTGAGCATCGACCTATGCAATTGGGTCCTGTTAACAGGGAAGTTTATGAAATGATCATGTGACTACACTCCACACTATATTAGAAACAGTGTAAGCATTTAGTATGTGGACTTTTTTCTACTGCAGAAAACTGACCCAAATATTGAGCTTCACAAACATGTTCACCAGCCAGTTTGAGGTAACTGGCAATGTAAATTACCATAGAGTAGCAAACAGCAGAGCCTAACTCTGGGCTCTGGGGTTAAAGACTACCTGCTGGGTGTGCCCTGTCTCTCCGGTGTTCTGCCCGCACCGAGAGGGGTGGAGAGTTTGTTCGTTGCTAGTGGACTCTGAGGCTTAGCCCCTGGTGTCCCACTGCCAGGTGTGGGTGGCTTGGCCACCCCAGGGGTAGGGGACTTCCCCTGTTGAGGGGTGCCGGGAGACTTGGCTGGGGTAGCTGGCTTGGGGGAACCGCCCGGTCTGGGGGACCCTGATGCAGGGGACATGGATAGCCGGCCCTGCAATAACAGTATCTTGTTGTGAAAGATGAAAAGATTAATAGGTTCAAGGATAGAAAGGCCCAAAATATTCAGCAATGTTCCTGTTATATGATGGCGGTCTGTATATAATCAAATCTGGACCAGACATCATGAGCATTGGTCCAAGCAATTGGAATACGTCAACAAAGTAAGCGAGTCTGACCACCCAATCCAATTAGTGGCGTCTTACAACAAGCATGGGTTGCTGAAGACCAGTACTAAACCAGACCTTTACGAGCATGGAGGCACCCAACATGAAGCAGGATGGAAATGTTTATCACACACACCAGCATCGCGTGTCATAATTCAAGTGCAAAAATTTTCAACAACATGTCAAACCCCGGTTCACAACACTTGCCCACCTTGACTATAAATACTTTACCTGCATCACAACATGCCAGTTGTGTAGAAAGCCCCAAGTGAAACATGTCGAAAATGTTTCTTGCTTTCTTGAAACCCTTTCACACAGGTGTTGTGTTGATAGGCCAAGCATCAAATTAGAGTGAACCTTTTGGCACAGATAAGAGACACAACTAGAAATGGATGCCCTGAACTACACATACCTGTACTGAGATTCTCTGCATCGGAGTGTTCTCATGTAGTCGTTTCTCTGCCGCGGCTTGCTGTTCCTCAAATATACGAAGGTCATACTCAATCTCTGTCGCCAGCTGCTTGTCTGCTGACAGAATGTCTGTGAAGACAAAAGTGTGAGTGACTGTCACGTACCATTCCAGAAGAACTCTGTGATAGTAAATAAACCAGTCCGGACCAGACAAACATACATTGATTTACCTATTAATCTGGACTGATACGCTAGGAGTATATATATCACTACAACATCTATATGCCTATGATAAAGCAGGGGTGGAAATAACCCATTGCCTGACGTCCGAGTCCAGTGTTTTTTTCTGTCGGGCAAGCAAATTTGTATATCACACTGTACCAGTGTCCAGTTGACTTTCCAATGTTAATTACGTTGTTTATTTAAAAAATCAGCAAGAAACGGTCGGTATAGTGGAAAAATTATCAGGGCAACTTTACATGTGCCACTGTACCAGAGAACACTATCAATTTTAGTTATTTCCAACCCTTGTAAAGTATATAGCTATGACAGGCTGTGACGCTACAAACACTGTTGATCAAGACCCCGCAATTTCACAAAGCTATGACTATCAGAAAGTGACGATATGACGACAAGACCATAGCCTGTCTATGCTACAGTATAAGAGGTGCAACGATTGCTAACAAGAAAAAAGTTCACGAGATCTTAGGTTAATGAGAGTTTTCTAAATAAAATGGGGACCAGGATCCTGTGCTACATGGGTTTTCTTTAACTTTGGGGATATTTCTTATGTAAACACAGTGAGTGAGTGAGTGCTAGTGGGAACAGTCCTTCACATCATCCTTCATGTGCCAGCTTGTTGTGGGAGGAATGATTTTTCTTTTCTTTGCACATGCATCATATTTTGTGTTCGATAAGACCCTACATACTTTTCTGCTCATACTGACATTCAGCTAAAATTTGACCTCTCACCTTTGACCTCATTCTTGTAGTCCTTCATGAGTTCACGCAGATACAACATAAGGTAACGAAGTACTGGGCTTTTCTGTTTCTCCAGCTGTGAAAAACAACATGGCAACGGTCACACAGAATAGTATTTGGTTTGGGATATCAGTGTCAGTTGAGACATCAGGAACCATATAAACACAGGCCCTTGTTCCACAAAGTAATAATAATAATATTGTCCATTTTCATGGCGCTAAACTCCACTGGGGCATGCTCATAGCGCATACAAGAGTCAAGGGAAAGTAAAAACTTGGTGGCAGTTCAAGGTCACTTTAAAAGTACAAACAGAACAGATGAGTCTTTAAGAGACACTTGAACTGTTCCAATGACAGGGCGTCTTTGAGAGAGTCTGGCAGTAAGTTCCATCTAGTGGCAGCTGCAACACTGAAGTAATCTTTGCTCTTTGACCATCACAACACTGATACTCAAGACTTTGTATAAAGGTCTCTTTGTGCAACTGGTCACCAGTTAGTTGTAATTCTGTGGTGTTTTCAACCCATTTTTTCACACTATAAACCTTGAAATCACAAGCTAAACTGGCTGAGCATTTGTTAGTTATTACTGTTGTACATATAAGCAAGGTCAATAACTTTTACTATCATACAGGTATTGTCTTGATATTGCTGAAGTTTTATTTGTAATTGTCTCCATCTTGGAGCCTCTCACCATTTTCTTCAGTGACGTCACTATAGGAACGATGTTCTCAATGACATTCTTCTTCAGCACCTACAAAACAAAATTGTGAAAATATATTTCCAAACATTTACATGGATAATGATTTTTGTCATATTGTAACATAGTTCTGTCCTAAATTAATTAAACAAGTAATACCTGTGTGATCAAGGTCTTCTTTGCAGTTGCCATGACAACAGCAGCCATGTCCTGTTCCTCGGCAACATCATCGTGAGGTCGGACCTTCAGGGAGGACAGCTTGATCTCCTGGAGAGAGTGAGTGAGTGAGTTACATGATGTTCAAGCAACTTTCAATAGTAATTCATTTACATTTCAACATGAGGAAGCTAGATCCCCCCTCACAGACCAAACAACACAAAAGAAATGCTACACCTTCTTTCCAAAAGTAGGTTCTAAGTAAAATCAGGTGGGGGTTTAATAGAAACTACTGGTAAGTGAATTCAAATAGGGAGGATCCAACAATATAGGGAGCTCCACAAATTGGTGACTGGAGTTTGGGCTGCAAACTTTTGACTTGTATTTTACCCCATCATACCTTACTGCCGAGGATCGTGAGGGCATCTTGCAGGACAGCGGTACTGTCCCCGTCCAGTGGTAGCACACCATCCACTGCACTGGCAAGGATCTGTACAAGAGCAAATACATGTGTTAACAACAGGGACTCGTGCTACAACAGGGACTCACAGGGACTCGTGCTACAACAGGGACTCACAGGGACTCAGGGACTCGTGCTACAACAGGGACTCACAGGGACTCGTACTTAGTGTTCTCCAGTTTGACATAATGCAAGATACTGCATCCAAAACTCATAAAATTATGTCTGTCAATGCACTTTTCACATTTTTATCCTGATAACAATAGAACATTTCCCCACAGTTGAAGAATCGAAAATAAATGTCTGTTTCATGTGTTTAATATTTAAGCTGTCTGGAGGGCAAGCGGAAGATCAGGCTTTTCAGGGGTTGTCCTATACGCAGCATATAAGTGTACATGTGAGAATCTATGGATATACTAAAGCCGATCCACAATTACTTTCAGACATACCGGGATATGCAAACGAAACAATGTAACTTAAGAATATTTCATATCCACTTTGTATTGACTAATGACAGCAAACAAATTTTACCAGCAAGCTTTTTGTAAACTGACATGTCTATTGTCCATCTCATATTTTAAGTGAGTATGGCATGTACATTCCATTTGTCAACTTTTACTTTATGTTGAATAATATACACCCTCAGAGTAAGGCACCTAATCCCCAGCACAAAAGTCAGCCGCCTAACCCAGCTTTCGGACATGGGAGCCGTGCCAATTTACACTTATCAGTGAGGTACACAAATTCCGCAGTCTAGACTACCAGTTGTTCGACTTCCATTTTAATGGAAGTCATGGTGGCTGAGTGGGTTAGGAAGCTGATTTTGTATTCTGGTGATTAGGTGCCTGACTGAGGGTGTGGGTTCGGATCTCGCATGGGACTCAACCCAACAAAAGTACTAGAATCTGTGCTATACTAAGAAAGTGTAATCCCTAATATAACATATGTTGTTCAAAAATTGTTTGATCAAGGTATCAAGTCTTACAAAATGTCTTTTAGTAGACATATGGAGGACACTTCCACTCAGATTGAGACTTTAGCCACAGGTTCTAAGTCTGGGTCTAGCAAAATGCCTTTCAGGAAGTTTACTTTGATGATGAAAAATTAACCAAATATCTACTGAACCTTTAGTCAAGTTATAGGTTTTGGCTGGTACACTGATATACCTTTGGCGGAGACTTTCCACCTGGTATCATCTGTATTTGATAGACATAATAAACACATGCATATGATTCAGTCAACATTGTACATTGAATTGTGGAAACGGTTTATAATATCATTAGCACTATTCCTGCCACAAATACTACTCAAAGGACTTAAAGACCTCCCAATTCTTTCACAGTATTTCAGTTTATGTGTCATGGCATGACAAACCAACAAGTAATCTGAAAATACATGGATTGTCCTTAACTCCTTTTGAGTGGTATATCAAGGCTGGGACAAGAATGTGCTGACCACACACTATCTGGAATCAAACCCGAATTACGTGTCAATGCTTTAACCACGAGGCTATCAAAACTACCCCTTCCCTTGTGTAAAGTAAGAACTGAAAATCGACAAATCACAAAGATCTTTAAATGACATTCTCTAGGTCTTGTAAACTATCTGATCCACTCACATCCTGACATATTTTTGCGGAGAGCTGGAAGCGATGTTCGTCCGTCATATGTTCCAGCATGAACAGATACAGCTTCAGGCGCTTTCTGGAAATAGAATCATTGGAGTGAGTGAGTGAGTTTAGTTTTATGCCACACTCAGCAATATTCCAGCTATATGGCAGCGGTCTGTAAATAATCGAGTCTGGACCAGACAATCCAGTGATCAACAGCATGAGCATCAATCTGCGCAATTGGGAAGCCGATGACATGTGTCAACCAAGTCAGCGAGCCTGACCACCCGATCCCGTTAGTCGCCTCTTACGACAAGCATAGTGGCGTTTTGTGGCAAGCATGGGTTGCTGAGGACCTATTCTACCCCGGATCTTCACGGGTCAGAATCATTGGAACATCCAAGAACCACTAAATAGAGGAGTGACTGTTGTTTGTCAAACCTGCAAGTAATGAACTCAAGGCCAGACAAAGAGTCAACGAGTGAGTAGGGGTTTATGCCGCTTTCAGCGATATTCAAGCAATATCACGGCAGAGGACACCAGAACTGGGCTTCACATATTGTACCCACTTGGGGAAACAAAGCCGGGTCTTCGGTGAGATGAGCGAACGCTTTAACCACTAGGCTACCCCACTGTCCATATTCTGCTGAAAATGTGCGCCAGACCGAGGAGACACGCAATCAACTATGTCATACATTGTTAACCCTTGAATATTATTTTAATCATCTTTAAACACAAGCAATCATCATAGTACATACCATATGGTGCAGTGAACCTATCTGAGCTCCAAATTATGCATAATAATTCACAATGACCCAATTAATTTTTTGTTTGTATTTGTCACAAGAGCAGACTAATGGGACTCTGTCATTCTATTCAACTTGCGCAGTTCAATGCTCATCATGTGGACAGGCTGGTCCAGACTTGATTCATTATAGACCGCAGTCATGTAATAATAATAATAAGTCATCTTCTATAGCGCACAGTCTCCAACCACCAAGTGATTGCTCGTGGCGCTTAATTAGAATCTGATTCTTATTACCCCGGATAACCCAAGCAGCCTGTTAGGCACTAGAAAGTTATAGTCACATGACTTTATCCAACCGGGTACCCATTTTCTGCTGGGTGAACAGAGGCAATTTGGAACAAACTCACTTGCCTAAGGTGAGACCACATGTATCACATGTGCTTCGTTGTGGGGCAGGACTGAAGTCCTAGAAACTCTCAGGAGTCAGGCTGCCAAACACGGTCACCCATCCAAGGACTGTCCAAGCTCGACGTTGCTTAACTTCAACTGATTTGTGACCTGAGCTCTGTTCACAGGACCACACGCCACCACATGTAACTGTGATATTGCTGAGTATGGAGTTAAACAACCAAGTAATCCAGCTATGTGACGGCTGAGGATGCTGAACCGGGTTCCAGTAATTGACAGCATGAGTGTCAATCTACACAATCTGGATACAACAACATGCAGCGAAGCGGTCACGGGTTTGAGTACAACAAACAAACAACTTACTCAGCATTCTGTTTGCCACTGAGAGAGAACATCTGCTTTTCCCGGTCTGACTGGGTGAACTTGTTGTACACTGCAATATGGAATATCGTCAATCAAAACAAGGATTTACACAACATCAGTATAGTCTTGTCTATACTGATGCAATTGCAAGATTAATTTTAATGTTCATTATGTGTCACTGTAAACAAAAGGCATCCAATGTTTTCTCTTGTAAAATGAAAATAAAAGACAAAGTCAGAACCTTTGTTGATTCCTGCATTCAGTCATATTATTTTGTCAATAAAGCTAACACATGCACCAATTTCAAAAACATACACAACAATCTCCATAAATCCGGTTTCCCCAAAAAGTGAACCGGGTTTTGACAAGCATTTTCTGAGATAGATACACCGAATTATTAAAACTGTTCAGAGAAACCCCAGGGTATCATCAACAAGTCTACAAAATATCTAAGAGATTGGTTGCAATTTATGCAAGTATTGTCAAATTAAAAACAGCATGTCCAAAAATGCAATATGGGACTCTCTAAAGGAGAAAGTGTACCGAGTAGTGCGAGACAAATTGACTGAGCAGGCGTTAAAGGACAGGATAATTATGTCATGGGAGGAGATGTCGGTGGAAAAAATACCTAAAAGCATTTCTGCTCGAAAGAAACGGCTTCGTTTGCTTGTGGAGGAAGACGGACGCCATAGACTGAAATGAGTGAGTTCTCATATGGTATTGCCTTTTTTGTTGACTTGTTGATGATACCCTAGGCTTACTCTGTGAAAAGTTTTAATAAATTCGGTGTATCCATCGCTGAGAAAATACTTGTCAAAAACCGGTTCGCTTTTTTGGGGACACCCGATATATACCGAGTACTTAGAAATTGACGGGTGAGGGAGAAGAAGATGCACTTAATGGTTAACAAACTTCAGTGAGTGAGTGGGGCATAATGCTGTGTGTCAACTAATCGACACATGTACTGTATGGTCTCATTAGGTAGGGTTTACACAGAGAATATGGTCAGGTGGACCTTATTGGAGCAGGGCCTTCCTACAATGGAAACAGTACTAGAAATGTGGTGGGAAGCATTGCTGGACAAAGACTGAATATAGCTGAATAACCTGAGTGGTCTTGATAGGAGTTGAAGTGGAAGATGCACTCTACGAAGTGATGGAAGAACATGGTGGGCTGTCTCTGGAGGAGGAGGTGGACCAGGCAGAACTCCGCTGTGGACAACAGGACAATTTTACACTCTACATGACTCTCACAGTTAACACATCAGTAAAGTAGATTCAATCAGCAGATTATGAACAAACATGTCTTAAAGTTCAGGCAAATCATAAAATTTAGATTACTGTAAACGTACTTATTTTCGCGTGGTGCAATTTTCGCGGAATTGACAGTTTAGACTACATCGCGCGGTCAATTATTCGCGCAATCAGTAATTGCCGGAACTGCCAGCTGTCTCTTTGGCCGCCACTAATAGCAGTGAAAACAAACAGAGTGGCTTAACCTGTCAGGCGGCGTTTATTGCTTACTCACAGGAAATCCCTATCTGTGCGATATACTAGTACACAGTAATCCGTTTACTCCCGGAAGAGATGAAAAACACATCAGTCTTATGTTCCGAATTCTGACGATTTGTCGAATTAACTTCTACTGTATATGAAGCTCTTTGTGATTTCAAACAAGCCGGGTTGTTGTGAATTAGATGATTGAGTGTTAGTGACTATTCGCTTCATGATGTACTGGTGAATAAAATCTTAATGAATAAATAAAAAAATGCTGCATTATTTCTTTCCGAGTCGTTTCACGGTAATCTGTTTTGTATCAAACCATGTCATGTGACCAATTTCCATGGCAGCCACAACACACATTGCTGTTTTCGCTAATTCGGCAATGGGATTTGGCTCATTATTTAATTATGTTTTGGGAAATCCATTACAGCGACAGTTAAGTTTGATCAGTCGTCATTTTAAGATTCCCGTTGATTTCTGTCTTCAAACGTGATGTGTTATGGTAACAACTCAGGGGCGAGCGTGGCTAGACTGAATGAATGACAGGTTTATTCGCGGTGTATAATTTTTCGCGCTAAAATGTTTTGCGCGAAAAGCGTGAAAATAAAACCTGCGCGAAATATAATACGTTTACAGTAAGTATAAAACAACTAATAATCCTAATATTATATCGGTGAATCAATACACTGGTCAAAAGTGATGGAGGTCAATGCCACTTACAATCTTAGCAAAAACCAAGAGCATTAGCATTGTGTTGACAATCATAATCAGAACAAATCTCAGAATTAAACTAGGGATTACTGGATCCTTGCGTGAGTAAGGGACATAACTTCGCAGAAAACACTGTGGCATCAAAGATGGTTGAGTCATTGATGTTTATCTATGCATTAATAGCCCAACGAAGCTGCCTGCTTACCAAAGTCCCTGATGTGAGTGTTGGTGTCCAGCAGCGTGGTGATGAACCGATAGAACAACACACCCTTCCACTTGAGGAAGTCCTCCTGGAAATACAGGACAGGCTTACAAACAGAATCTCATAAAGTGACATCCCCCACTATCCTACCCACTTGATGAAGTCCTGGAAATACAGGACAGGCTTACAAGCAGAATCTCATAAAGTGACATCCCCCACCAACCTACCCACTTGATGAAGTCCTGGAAATACAGGACAGGCTTACAAACAGAATCTCATCACATGACATCCCCCACTATCCTACCCACTTGATGAAGTCCTGGAAATACAGGACAGGCTTACAAGCAGAATCTCATAAAGTGACATCCCCCACCAACCTACCCACTTGATGAAGTCCTGGAAATACAGGACAGGCTTACAAACAGAATCTCATCACATGACATCCCCCACTATCCTACCCACTTGATGAAGTCCTGGAAATACAGGACAGGCTTACAAACAGAATCTCATCACATGACATCCCCCACTATCCTACCCACTTGATGAAGTCCTGGAAATACAGGACAGGCTTACAAACAGAATCTCATCATCACATGACATCCCCACCAACCTACCCACTTGATGAAGTCCTGGAAATACAGGACAGGCTTACAACAGAATCTCATCACATGACATCCCCCACTAACCTACCCACTTGATGAAGTCCTGGAAATACAGGACAGGCTTACAAGCAGAATCTCATAAAGTGACATCCCCCACTATCCTACCCACTTGATGAAGTCCTGGAAATACAGGACAGGCTTACAACAGAATCTCATCACATGACATCCCCCACTAACCTACCCACTTGATGAAGTCCTGGAAATACAGGACAGGCTTACAAACAGAATCTCATCACATGACATCCCCCACCAACCTACCCACTTGATGAAGTCCTGGAAATACAGGACAGGCTTACAAACAGAATCTCAACAGTGACATCCCCCACCAACCTACCCACTTGATGAATCTCATCACATGACATGACATCCCCCACTATCCTACCCACTTGATGAAGTCCTGGAAATACAGGACAGGCTTACAAACAGAATCTCATCACATGACATCCCCCACCAACCTACCCACTTGATGAAGTCCTGGAAATACAGGACAGGCTTACAAACAGAATCTCATAAAGTGACATCCCCCACCAACCTACCCACTTGATGAAGTCCTGGAAATACAGGACAGGCTTACAAACAGAATCTCATCACATGACATCCCCCACCAACCTACCCACTTGATGAAGTCCTGGAAATACAGGACAGGCTTACAAACAGAATCTCATCACATGACATCCCCCACTATCCTACCCACTTGATGAAGTCCTGGAAATACAGGACAGGCTTACAAACAGAATCTCATCACATGACAGGCTTACAAACAGAATCTCATCACATGACATCCCCCACCAACCTACCCACTTGATGAAGTCCTGGAAATACAGGACAGGCTTACAAACAGAATCTCATCACATGACATCCCCACTAACCTACCCACTTGATGAAGTCCTGGAAATACAGGACAGGCTTACAGAATCTCAGAATCTCATAAAGTGACATCCCCCACTATCCTACCCACTTGATGAAGTCCTGGAAATACAGGACAGGCTTACAAACAGAATCTCATCACATGACATCCCCCACCAACCTACCCACTTGATGAAGTCCTGGAAATACAGGACAGGCTTACAAACAGAATCTCATCACATGACATCCCCCACCAACCTACCCACTTGATGAAGTCCAGGAAATACAGGACAGGCTTACAAACAGAATCTCATCACATGACATCCCCCACCAACCTACCCACTTGATGAAGTCCTGGAAATACAGGACAGGCTTACAAACAGAATCTCATCACATGACATCCCCCACTAACCTACCCACTTGATGAAGTCCTGGAAATACAGGACAGGCTTACAAACAGAATCTCATCACATGACATCCCCCACCAACCTACCCACTTGATGAAGTCCTGGAAATACAGGACAGGCTTACAAACAGAATCTCATCACATGACATCCCCCACCAACCTACCCACTTGATGAAGTCCTGGAAATACAGGACAGGCTTACAAACAGAATCTCATCACATGACATCCCCCACCAACCTACCCACTTGATGAAGTCCTGAAATACAGGACAGGCTTACAAACAGAATCTCATCACATGACATCCACTTGATGAAGTCCAGGAAATACAAGACAGAGGCTTACAAACAGAACCAACCTCCCCCACCAACCTACTTCCACTTGATGAAGTCCTGGAAATACAGGACAGGCTTACAAACAGAATACAAGACAGGCTTACAAACAGAGATCTCATCACATGACATCCCCCACCAACCTACCCACTTCTGATGAAGTCCTGGAAATACAGGACAGGCTTACAAACAGAATCTCATCACATGACATCCCCCCACCAACCTACCCACTTGATGAAGTCCTGGAAATACAGGACAGGCTTACAAACAGAATCTCATCACATGACATCCCCCACCAACCTACCCACTTGATGAAGTCCTGGAAATACAGGACAGGCTTACAAACAGAATCTCATCACATGACATCCCCCACCAACCTACCCACTTGATGAAGTCCTGGAAATACAGGACAGGCTTACAAACAGAATCTCATCACATGACATCCCCCACCAATCCTACCCACTTGATGAAGTCCTGGAAATACAGGACAGGCTTACAAACAGAATCTCATCAGGTGACATCCCCCACCAACCTACCCAACTCACACCCAAATCTATCGCCCACCTACACCCAACCACCCAAATCTATCGCCCACCTACACCCAACCACCCAAATCCATCCTACCCCGGACTTCTGCACAAACGCGCCCCACCCCCTCCCCACCAAACTGTCCCACACCCATCATCCCAAATCCACCTCCTACCAACCACCCACACCCTGCACCCAACAAGAAAGACCCACCTGCAGGAGTCTGGTCATGAGGGTTAGGGTCTGCTTGCGGACAAGGGGTGATGGATCCTTCAGACAGGAGGCAATGTTGGCCACATATCTGTCTACCAGGGTCGTGTACCTGCCAACAATAAACATGTACTGTCATTGTATCATATTCTAGAGCTACTGTCTCAGGATAATTTAGAAAACATTGTAACAAAAATGCATGGAAAATACAGGGAATTGTCACAGGTTAGACACAGCAGTGCAGGACATTGTAACCTGGTTTGTTGTTAAACGCCACACTCAGCACAATCCCAGCTATATGGCAGCGGTCTGTAAATAATCAAATCTGGACCAAACAATCCTGTGATTGACATCATGAACATCGATCTACACAATTGGGATATGATGACATGTGTCAACCAAATCAGCGAGCCTGACCGCCTGATCCCGTTGGTTGCCTTTTACGACAAGCATTCGTTACTGAAGACCGATTCTAACCTGGATCTTCACGGGTTTTAGACATAGTGACTTCATGAAGGACATTATGACAAGCTCTAACCTGACACACAGGTCACACATAATGATGATGACGTTGTTCCTGATGTTGGGGTCATGTGATGTCTCTAGCTCGCGGGCCAGAGCTGCGATACATTTCTTGGCCAGGTTTTCGTTCTGGAGACACAGTTTGCCTGGCGAATTTACAGAAAACAGATCAGCAAGATAACGTTCGATATCCAACCAAATCAAACGACAAATAATAGATAGACAACTTAAGTCAGTGCAAGATGTTCATTACTGCCACAAAAACAGAAGTAAAAATCATTAAAGGTTTGTGTTAGTGGTGTTCCGATTAATTGAAATAATCGAAGATTGGTCGTAGTGACTAAATGACCAAGCAATCGATCATAATTTCTCATAATCGAACACAAACAATTCTGGAACACTTGTTTTCATTAACAAAATTTTTCACATGGTTGGTTTTGTCTGTTACATTCCGTAAGCACTACAAGCTCGTTTCAAGTCATGATTGAATTATTCTCAAGATTCCAAGAAATTTATGTTCCTAACATACTACTCATCCTTTAAAGATGTGAAATTTTGCCAAAAAAACCCAGAAGAACTACACACACTCCCCCCTATTTTAATGTGCATTAACAAATTTCATAAATGACGCTAACCAATTATTTTCGATGACTGATCGGTAGCAATGAACCAATCATCAATTATGAGATTTTAACCAATTCCCAACACCAGTTTGTGTAGATCTAAGGGGAATAGGGAGAGTGGGGAGGATAGAAATGAGGGAAGAGAGGACAGCCAATGTTAGTGATACCCACCTAGTGTGATGAAGGCGTGTGCTCGTATCTTGCCTGACATCTTGGAGTCCCGGAACTGAGAGAGAGGCTGTGAGAGCACGGTGCCCTGACTACTGGTGACCTCGACCGAACTGGGGAAAGTCTGGGAGCAGGGGATGTCCTGGGTACCAGACTCATCTACATCAGGGGAAGAGAAAACTAGTGAGTGGGTGGATAAATATTAACATGGATCAAAGAAAATATGAGAAGACTAATTTGGAAGTTTAGCGTGCTGTCTGTACCATGCACTTATGATAAATAGTGATTTTATACCTAATATACCTAGGCTATATATGTACTGTGGTGTACTTCTGATGCATGATTGAATGACCTTGACATTCAAGGTAACAGTGCGAACCTGGAATCAAACAAGAGTTTTCACTAATTGACACACTCTTAATAATAACTCAATACCTTCATATGTTACCTACGTCAGTTATCAAAGTCTTGATATTACAGGGAGCTGCTTTATTTGTCAATATATTTTCTTACCGTCAATACAAGGGGCAGCTATGAGAGACTGCACCAGCATGAACACACGCTTGGGTGTCTTGGCCGGGCACAGCTGTGCGATCTCTCCCAGGGTGAACAGGTAGCGAACTATCTGATCCTCTTCTTCACTGCCAACTACGAACAGCGAGTCAGCGGGTTTAACAAGAGCCAAGTATTTCAGTTATATCTGACAGCATGAAATGATAGGAAACCTAAAAGATGCTGGCAGTAGATTTTCTGTCTTTGTTTCTCTACCTTACTGTTTCCGTGGATTTATAAAGGATTCTAAACAGAGTGCCTTTTTTGACAAAATGTATGATCATATCTTAAATCAAATTGTCAGATTTTTTTCCGACAATAATTCACAGGTTTTTTATGCACTACATTCCTTCTCCATCCCCACGAGGACTATTAAAACAGATTGGCACAAAATCTATGGATGGAAAAATTCGAACAAACCTGTAGAGGTTGCTGATTCTTTGATGAGAGTCCTCCTTGGGGTACATATAAGCATTAAAATGTCCAATTTAATCTCTACGACAGTTGTAACTATATTTTGAATAAAATATTTACAAAACAAAAAACAACATTTTTGTCTTGTTCGACCACCCCTATGGAACCCAGAATGGACCCGTCTGCCAAGAACAGGTAACTCTAGGTGCTAACCTCGTACCTCACTTTCCATGCTGAAGAAATACAGACAGAATGTGGGGAGGTGGGTGGCCGTACCCCAAGGAGGACTCTCATTAAAGAATCAGCAACCTCTACAGGTTTGTTCGATTCTTTTTCATGAGAGATCCTCCTTGGGGTATAAGACAGACTCCTAAAGACAAGAGTCCTGGGAGTGGTATTCTGTCTGATAAACTACGCCCCCGACAAGTGGAATTTCCCAACTATAAAAAGGAAAAGGAACAGCTCACTTACCTGGCCACGTGACCTCTTCAGCCAATCAGGCGAGGGCGTGGTCCAGGGTCAGGGGTTATCTATTCTGCTCATATGCAAATGAGGCAGTGAACTACTCATGTAGTAAACAATAGTGCCCCACCCCCATCCCGCAGTTTCATAACTACCTAGGGAGGGAGAGACATTAAATCCCATGAAACCACAGCCAAGCCTAGATTTCTAAGGAATAATGTGCCAAATTGACATACGGGGAGAACAAACCATCACCATAAAAAACCCAACACCAAGTAAGGGTAAAGGGAAGGAAAGTTGACCGCAAACCCGCCACCAGTAAAAAACAGATAAAATCGTAAATCTAAAGCTCAATTGGCTAGAGAGTTACGACTCTGCCCACTGGAGAGAACTGACTGACCCAACCGAGCACGCTCACTGGAGTGTCTGTCAAGTTGATAATGCCGGATGAACGTACTCGGCCGGCTCCAGATAGCCGCGGAGCAGATCTCCTCAATAGGCAGAGCCGCAGCATAAGCCTTAGATGTGGCTACTGCTCTAACCGAATGAGCTTTTAACCCTTTCTGTGTATAGCTCGTACAAATGGCAGAGACAAGCCACCTAGATATGGTCTGCTTGTTCGCTGGAAGACCAGCCTTACCTCCACCATAACAGCAAAACAATTGGTTATCTCTCCGGATAGCCAATGTCCGCTTGATATAAGCCTTGAGGGTCTTATGCTGTGACATGAAAGGCACTGTCTCTCTTAGGACGGTAAGTATCTGGCAACCTATTGCTAACTCTGTCTTTATGGAAAAAAGTCAGCTGGGGTTCGGCCGACATTGCATGAATGTCACCTACTTGCCTGCCGGAGGTTACCGCCACAAGTAAAGCAGTCTTCCGAGTCAACAGCTGGAGGGAAACAGCCGAGAGATCGTAAAAGAGAGGACCAGACAGCCAATCAAGAACGATTGACGTCCCACTGGGGACTGATCTGCCGGACAGCCGGACGGATTCTGTCCATGCCTGCTAAAAACGCTGTACAAGAGGTGCTGCCCAAAGAGTGCACCATCGACAGGTATATGAAACGCTGAATAGCCGTTGAGTAACCTCGAACAGTAGAAGCGGCTAGCCCGCTTCCAACCGAGACTGGAGGGACTCAAGCACCGTGACTAGATCTGCAGAAAAGGGATCGAGAATCCCCCTGCCGACACACCAGCGCGTATAGCAGGCCCATCTATCCTCATATTGAACGTTTGTCGAATCCCTCTGCGAAGCCAGAATTGTGTTTGCAACTGCTGCAGGAATTCCGCTCGCATGGAGGCGATTCCGGACAGTGGCCATGCCACCCACTGAATCCTGGGATTCGGGTGCAGCGCTCCGTTCTGGGATAGAAGGTCCGGTCGAAAGGGTAATAGTACAGGAGGCTGAGCCAGAAACCTGAGAATTACCGGAAACCAGCTTTGAGCTGACCAAAGAGGTGCAAGGAGCACTAACAGTCGAGCTGGTTGGGTGGCCAACTGCGATAGGACCTTGGATATCAGTGGTATCGATGGGAACGCCCACAGTACCCTGTCCGTCCAATCGAGTTGGAAGGCATCGTTGGCTACCGCTCTCGGATCCAGTGTCATAGAGCAAAACACTGGTATCTGGTTCGTCGCCCCAGAGGCAAACAGATCCACCTGGAACGACCTGTATAACTGGGAGATAATCCTGAATATCCCCCGGTCTAGCATCCACTCGTGTGGAGCTAGTATACAACGGGAGAGCGCATCTGCTTGAACGTTGTCTACCCCCGGGAGATAGACTGGGATCACCCGTATGTCGTACTGGTCGCACCATAGCAGAAACTGCCATGCCTCCTGTAGCAGGGACGCTGATACCGTGCTGCCTTGCTTCAGGATATAGGTCATGGCCGTCTGGTTGTCCATCTCTAGACGAACCACTTGGCCACGAACCTGATCCACTAAGCTCTCGAACACCCTTCAGACTGCTCTCAATTCTAGCACATTGATATGCAGACTGATCTCGTGCTCTGCACAAAGGCCCGAGACTGACCTGTCGCCCAGAAAACACACCCCCAACCTGAGAGGGAGGCTTCTGTCTGAATCGAGAGCGTGGGTGTTGGGGACTCCAGAGGAACACCCCTGGATAAGTTCCCGGCGTCCGTCCACCACGCAAGTGAGGGGTTAACCATTGGTACATGTAGGTAAGCGTCTTTGAGATCGATTGACGTGAGCCAATCCCCTGTCTCGACTGAGGAGATCACTGAGCGCAGTGTCTCCATCCTGAAAGACGGCACTTCTATCATTTTGTTCAGCCCTTTTAGATTGAGTATGGGTCTGAACCCTCTGTCCTTCTTGGTCACTATGAAATACGTGGAGTAAAATCCCTCGTTTTCATGACATTCTCGAACCACCTCGATGGCTGCCTTGTCCAGTAGAGACTGGACCTCGGCACGGAGAATGTTCGCTTTTGCCCGGGAGATGGGCACAGGAATGTGCCTCACCCCAGTGAATGGTGGCAGACCTCGCTTGGGTGTGGACAGGACCCAGGGATTTGAAGTGACCTTCACCCATTCCGGGAGGAAGAGTGTAAGCCGGCCGCCTACAGGGACGTGTGGCATGAGGCAGTGCACTCCCACAGTCGGCAAGTCTCCGCTTGTGTGTGTGGGAGGCAACAAGGGTGTCCGAGGGAGATTTAACGGGAAGACAGGGCTGGCTTCCCCTTTCCCGGAAAAGGCTGCTGCGCAGGTGCAGCCTTTCCCTTGCCTCGTGCCCTCCTGCTCTTCTTAAGCTGCAGTGGAGCAGTCCACTTTGCAGGATCCTTCGCCGGCGGAAGGCGCAGATGTGAGGGTTGCTCTGGTTATATTAGTAGGGGTTGCTCTTAAGGGCGGAGTCCTTAAAAGTACTTACCGCCTCAGCGCCTCGTGAACTACATTCAGTGACCCATGGAAGAGTGTGGAACCCATATTGTAAGGCAGAGAAAGTTGCGCCTGCTGAGTGGCTGGTGAATAGCGCACCACCGACAGCCACAAACGGCAGAGGCCCATGCCAGGGCCCATCATCATGCTAGCACAACAGCGGATACTGTCGCGTGCAAGATGTGAATGGGCGCCTGTCAACTGTCAACGAGGGTGGCTTCATCATCCCCACATGCTCCCCTGTCTACCAGTTCTTCTTGCAATGCAGATAGGTATGCTGAGTAGACTGCCACCCGCAACTGCTGAGCCGCCGTCCTATGCTACTCTTCAAAATGAGCGATAGGCCGACTACAGAGCTGGGGCGTTGGCAGGGAATGGCGGCAGTCGCCGGCCCTGCCTGGCCGAAGCCAGGGAGGAAGAGGAACCACCAAGTGTGACAGACGTAAAGACGCACTCATCCACCACCGGCGGCTCAAACAGTGCCTCCTCTCCCAACGGGTACCGCCTGCTAAGCTCCGGTAGATCGCAACGAGAGTGAGTACCCGAGAGGAAAGGATTAATCACCTCGCCAACAGGTGATGGGAGAATATGAAGTTTAGCCTCAGCCACTCGCGAAGGTGCAAAAGCCTCCCCGGAAGGCTAAATTCGAGGGGTCAGGCCCAAGCACAGGAACAGTAACCTGAGGCAGCGCTTGGCGCACGTCTCGCGACACCTGCCTCAGAGACGAGAGTAACGAGACCTCACCCTCAGGCTTGTCTCTCCCCATCCTCCTCCATGTCAACATCATCACATCCCTTGGTAACCTAACCCTTAAAGAGGGACGGTGGGCACCGTTGACATAGAACACGAAGGGCTCAAGGGAGAGATCTGAACCAGAGGGTTCGATCGCCTGTCCCCGCTCGACCCGGAGCCGTGGGCTGAGGCAACAAGGTAGGAACTGCCGAAGCAGGTCGCCCAGCAGAGCCTCTGGGCGCCGAGGGACCAGACCAGGACCAGGTATGCTCAGGCGCCATCGGGCGGCAGAGGAATCCTGCGCATTACCGGGGCCAGGGCCCGGGTCAGCACTAGGAACAGCAGACAGACCATCCCCGAGCTGAGACTCGGGTAGGTTGCCCAGGGATAGGTGCGCTCACGGACCTGAGCCCAGGCCGCCACCATCCCCAGCAGAGACACCTTGACCATCGAGATTTACACATTGCGAGCCGAGGCTCCTGGACGGAGCCCAGACATCGCGACTTCAATCATCAACTTCACATTAGTCATCTGCTGCTGCATTTGTTGCTGAAATAAGGAAGCAATTGAATCAATATTTAAGGCAGCAGCAGGGGTTTGGAGGTGGAAGGAACAGGTGACGACTCCTTAGAGACCCTAAGCTTTCGGCGTCCCCGACTCAGACGGTGGCTTGAGCTAGTGGAAGATTTTTCTTATGTGATCTCTTGGAAGGGGTCCTGATATAGATATCGCCCGCCCGCATGAGATAGGAAAAAACCCAAAAGTCGGCGTGTCTCGACTTTTGGGTCTTGGGTCGAACAAGACAGAAACATTGTTATTTGTTTTGTGAATGTTTTATACAAAATATAGTTACAACTGTCGTAGGGATTAAAATGGACATTTTAATGCTTATATGTACCCAAAGGAGGATCTCTCATGAAAAAGAATTAAGGATATGAAAATATAGAAGGGAAACTGACTGCAGAATGTTTGCTTAGAAACATAAATTTTGAAGGCACCATTACTAAACTGTCATAGACAGTCATGTAACCACTCACGCTGACTGCTTGATAACTTTTTCCCCTCATTTATTATAATGGCATATGTATTTCATCATTTTTACCGGTGTCTTTGACTGACTGACTGACTGAGTATGGTTTTACGCCGCTTTTAGCAATATTCCAGCAACATCACGGCGGGGGACATCAGAAATGGGCTTCACACATTGTACCCATGTCGGGATTCGAACCCGGGTCGTCGGTGTGACAAATCAACGCTTTAACCACTAGGCTACCCCACCGGTGTCTTTGAAGATTGCTTCAATGATGATTGGCAACATATTACTGAACCGAAAATATATGACAACTTGTATTTTTTATGAATAATGCCCATCATAATCATGCTGTATTGTGTGAATATCACAACTATGGAGGCCTATCTACTTCGCTGGGATGGCTGAATGAAAGGGAGACAACTCACTGGACGAAGCCTCTTCATTGAGGATGATGTGAGAGAGGTACTCATCACATGCGTTCAGCAGGCAGCTGCACCAGCTCTCCCTCACTCTCCGACTTGTGCTCTCATCCGACCCAGCCTCACACAGCTGCAATACACATGAAAACATCCAAAATCCTTGACTTCTTCATTATCTTTCCATAAGCTCCTAAACTGTCTGTACTAGTGAGCTAAGTGTATAGTCAAGCATATATGTCCAGAAAACAATCTTTAACAACCAGTTCTGAATGTAAATAATACAGGCAGGGCTTTTATATTGTGGATATTTTACAGACCCCGTCATTTCTAACACCATGGCATCTACCCAGATGGTCAGCAGATATGTCAGCACTAATTAGCCATGCTAGTTGGAGTATCACATAACTATCAAATAACTGGTTTTCATACAGAATGTCTGTTTTCTTCTCAGCTTCCGACTCAATGTTGTCTAAGTTGGTTATATGCACCCTAACCCTGAACTACTGCAGCAGCAAGACAAGTGGGCGTGTACCTTTGAGAGAGTGTTGATGATGACAGCTATCAGCTGGGGCGAGGAATCAAACTTCTTCAGTCTTTCTTTCAATGCATCTGGAACATATTGGCATTGTGCGGAATCACAGGACAAGCAAGAAGACTTGATGTGAAGAGGCAGTGGCTATTTCCATTTTAGGTAAATAAATACTACAATTTTTGTAAGATTAAGTTACTATGAGCCAGGTGAAGAGCCTGGCAAACCTGTGATTTCAAGTTCTCATATGCTTCATTGTCCTATGACCATGTGTGTAATGCGTGACCTGATGATTCTGCATCCAGTAAAGAACTTTGTTTTATACAAGGGCATTGTTTTGTTCAAAGGAGTTGTTTTGTTCAAGGACCTTGTTCAGCTCCTCCTTTTCAATATTACACATTGTAAAATACATCACTGTCAGATTCACCATGTTTCATGTGGACAGATGGAGGGTGATGATATGCTGAATAGATCTGTACCATGATACAAATCCAAACTATGTACCATTATCAGACTTCGAAATTAAGCATGAAAGTCATCAGGTCCATGTAACAACCCAAATGTTGAATGACATACAGCTGCTAGATTCAAATACCAAGGACCATAGAGTGAGTGAGTTGAGTTTTACGCCACACTCAGCAATATTCCAGCTATATGGCGGCGGTCTGTAAATAATTGAGTCTGGACTAGACAATCCAGTGATCAACAGCATGAGCATCGATCTGCTAGCCTGACCACCCGATCCCGTTAGTCGTCTCTTACGACAAGCATAGGTTACTTAAGGTCAATATTCTCACCCGGACTATCACGGGTTCCAAAGACCATAGAACATCCTTTCATGTCAAAATTAATGATTATGCACAACACCAGGAACTTGTATCTACACATCAATGAGCACCACCTACCAGCAATGTCAGTGCGTTTGTCAGCAGGGAGATGCTTGGCGACGCATCCGATGACGGAGATGATTTGAGGCCAGGTGCTGTTGTCACCTAAATTATTTGAATGAGAGGAGTTCATGAAACGAGCACACATGTTTAACAGTATTATGGCTTCTTAATTAATAATGGAGGTGATGAAACGAGCACACATGTTTAACAGCATTATGGCTTCATAATTGATAATGGAGATGATGAAGCGAGCTTACATGTTGTTTAGCGCTGCATTTTCTCAATATTATCACTTCATCAGTGGCCTGTTCACAATTTAGTCTGGGCCTGACAAACCAGTTACTGAGACAGTGAGCTACAATTTATACAGGACACGATGACAGGATGGAAGTGGCCAAATCACTTTTTGTTGTTTTTGTCAAAAGAACGGGATGCTGATGACCTTATCTTCCATGTAAGCCTACTTTCCAAACTACACTACGCCACAAGCTTCCTGGTTGGAGTGAGTGAGTTTAGTGTTACGCCACTTTTAGCAATATTCCAGCAACATCATGGCAGGAATCACCAGAAATGGGTTTCACACATTGTACCCATGTGGTCTTCGCCATGACAAGCGAACATAACCACTTCATTGACTTGGCTTCCCCACCACCCTTTCAGTTTAGAGAAGGTCCTGCATGAAAAGTTGACCTAAAATATTTGTTGTGTGATTTGATAACTTGGTTGGTTGTGTTCATACTTCATATCAGATCATAACAATGACTCTCTGTATCAATCACTGGACTTCCTGATCTGATTCTTTACAAGCCAAGGTCATAGGGGGACAATATCGGCAACTACCGCACTTTGCATCATGAAAGGCAACATACTGCTCATCTCACCAAGGTCATAGGGCAATAATATCTGGAAATATGACCGCAATTTCTGGGCATGATGCCAGGCAAGCTAATGCTTAACTCAAATGAACATATTTAAATGGCAATTCACCGCACTTTGCATCATGAAAGGCAACATACTGCTCATCTCAGTTGAGTGCTTGTCCCAGTATGTCATCAGGAACTCATTCTTCATCTTGGGGAAGGACGTCGCAATCTCAGCCAGAAGCAGCCACGCCCCCTAGGGAAACATGACATGTTTGTTCAAGAGCACAAAATGATCACACTTGTATTTTTGTAATTTTCTAGTCATTGAAAAAGAACATCATTAAGGATTTAATGTTTAGAAACCATGACCCTAAATTTTACAGTTCACCATTTTCCCCTCAAGATGCACAAACCTTATTGTTCTGTGTGTCCAGGTGAGTGTGCAGGTGGTTGACGACAGCACCCTTCAACTTCCCCTGCCGCGACCAGTGTTGACATGCCCTCTGCAGGTAGCGCCTGACGGTTGTAAAATATTGTACAGATACAATACCTTGGTTAGTTGGTTTATTGTTTAACGCCACACACAGCAATATTCCAGCTATATGGCGGCGGTCTGTCAATAATCGACTCAAGACCCGACAATCAAGTGATCAACATCATGAGAATTGATATACACACACAATTGCGATGCGATGACACGTGTTAACCAAGTCAGCAAGCCTGACCACTGATCCCGTTAGTTGCCTTTTACGACAAGCATGGGTTGGTGAAGACCAATTCTAACCCGGATCTTCATGGGTGTACAATACATACACACACACACACACACACACAGTTAACTTTCCCTACGAAGAAGTTTGACAAAATGAAAATGGAAGAAGTTTGGGTCAACATCACTGTGAGCAGTATTTCACTTATCGGTATGTCCTGGGTGTCAGTTTTAGATGGGAGAAGGTCCCAGTGATGCAGCTCTCGGACATTATCACTTTGGTGAAACCCATGAGAACAGGCATGAGGCTGATAAACTTAATAATAATAATCGGATTTGAACCAATGTTCCTGGCATCATTAAAGGAGGAAACTCAGAACTGCACAAAATCTACACACCGAGTCATGATGCAGACTTATTTTGAGTGTAAACTCTCATACTGAGTAATTATACACAGATTTTCTTCATTGATTTTTGTAAGTTATGTTGCACACAGCAATATTCCAGCTAATTTGGAACAGTTTGAAAGATCAATTCTGGATCCATGAAACGATTGATATTATAAGCAAACCATCAATTATCACAGGGTGTGAAGAGAACTAATTAGCAAGGTCACCAAACTAAAGCAATTGGTAGTCTCTGCCAAGATGGGTTGGCAGTGAGGGACTCTAACTAAGGAAATGGAGACTTACTTTAAGTCAAGACTCTCATACTGGGTCATGATGCTGAGGAGGCTCCACACCAGCTGGTGTTCTTCATCCTTGGATCTGAAACAGAGCCCCACTGGTTACATGGCTCTCCCCAGGTGAGGTGAGGTGAGGTGAAATTGGGTTTAACGTCGTGCTTGAGAATATTTCGCTCATATGACGACATGCATGCGTGTGTATGTGTATGTGTATGTGTATGTGTATGTGTATGTGTATGTGCGGCTGCTTGTACTAGCCCAGACTGATGCTGGTTTTATAGTGCTAGCCCACTGAGATACCATGCCGCAGTGAAGCATGAATACCCCACTCAGACACATTATACTGACTCCGAGCCAACCAGTCCTTGTTGTACCCATTAATGCCGAGCGCCAGGCAGGGACTAACAAGTACCATATTTTAATGTCTTTTGGTATGACGTGACCTTCTGCTCTCCGGGCGGCTCTCCCAGGGTATGTTGAAGGTCAGGTAAGTGCCGACAACTCACCCAGTGCTTTTGTAATGGATGGAAGTTGGTGGTAATGCAGTGTATGAAATAAGGCCCGTCAGACCACCAGAGACGGGTTAAGATTTCAGACGGACGGTCTAGATTTACAGCTAGCCAGCCCGATGGGCTGGTAAAAAATTGAGATGTTATATACATCTGAGTCATATCTTGGTGTCTGGTGTGATTAAATCCATTTTGAACTGGTAACATTTTGAAGTTACCAGCCCTGATTCTGACTGGAGTTTTGGCTTATTTCATACACTGGGTAATGTCTGATCCATATGGACATGAGATTGTTGAAAGGGAAGAACGAGTGCACTTAAATCCCAGAATTGATTTATAACAGATATGAAATGAAAATGATAACTTTCTATTTAATATTGCATTGAGCATACAAGCACAAGTGCCCACCTGAATATCAAATCTATTGAATGGGCAAAATACATGATGTTTGTGTCTCTAATTAAGAATACTTAGCAACCTACCTGTTGTACGGCACCACGTTATTCAGGACAATATCCTCCAGTGTCTCAATACACTTGTCCTGAAGAGTTGACTCCCTGTCCATGACAAGGGGGAGAACTCCATCCAACCACGCCCTGCAACATTAAACACAACACAATTTGATGAGGTTGGTTTAACACTACCTTGAACAGTATTTCAGTTATAAACATTCCAGGATGTCAGTTTGAATGGGGAGGAAAGTCACGAGTTCAAGCAGAGAAGAGTGAATTATGCACCATTTGAAAACAGACCTGAAGAAGAAGACAAACTCAATCTCAGTCACTTTGTCATGATTGATCAACATCTGGCTATCTAAATACGATGACATATGTCAACCAAGTCACGGAGCCTGACTAACCGATCCCGATAGTCGCCTCTTACAACACGCATGGGTTGCTGAAGATCAATTCTAACATGGGTGTGTGCAAGATGGAAGGAACAAAAATAACGACACTATTATGATTTTGATCCCGTACTGCAATACAAGGACTTTTGAGGTGAGGTGAGTTGAGGAGAAATTGGGTTTAACGCCGTGCTTGAGAATATTTCGCTCATATGATGACGTGCATGCATGTGTATGTGTATGTGCGGCTGCTTGTACTAGCCCAGACTGATGCTGGTTTTATAATGCTAGCCCCCTGAGATACCATGCCGCAGTGAAGCAGGAATACCCCACTCAGACACATTATACTGACTCTGAGCCGACCAGTCCTTGTTGTACCCATTAATGCCGAGTGCCGAACAGGGACCAACAAGTACCATATTTTAACGTCTTTTGGTATGACGCGGTCTGGGATCGAACCCGCGACCTTCCGCTCTCTGGGCGGACGCTCAAACCACTACACCACGGAGGCGGTCCAAGGACTTTTGAGCCCTGGATCAGTGGACGGTTTATGTTGCTTGACCGGACACATCAGGCATAAGTGCAACAAGTTTGTATAAGTTTTCAAGTTCAAGTTTCACCTTTTATTGAGATCAAATAATTCTAAAAATCTTTCAGAAATGGCATCAACAAGTTGTTTTCTCTGATATGATGAGATACAACTGATGAGATGTGATGAAGTAACATCTTACCGCTGTATCTTGGGGTCAGTGGTGTGCTGCAGCAGAAGCTCCGTCAGGGACATCATGGCCTGCTTCCGCACCGACAGCGCAGGGTCGGCACAACGTTCCTCCAGTATAGCCAGATCCTATGAGTATAAAGAGATCATAGTGTTTGTTTGTTATATTACATCACACACAGCAATATTCTATCTACATGATGATAGCTTGACAGCCTGGATCAGACAAACAAGTGCTTGTTATGATCAAGATGACGGAGATTCGAACTGAAAGTTAACATGAATTACAATGATTTAAAATGGAACTTATGTTATTTAGGATCAGCTTGAGACGAGGCAGCATGACGCCTACCTCTTTCCTGTAGTCGGGGGCCTCGAAACGGATCATACATTCCAGGGCTTGCAGAGCTGCCTTCCTCACGTTCACCTTCTGGTCTTGGCTGCGACGGCGCAGCATGGAGATGACGCCATCATCGTCTATCAGGTCTGTACAGACACACAATGACAAAGAGACATTTAGGAATATCTTCATGACTGGGTCATAGTGATATTTTAAAAACAAGAAGTAAAAATTAGCATGTCTGAGTGTATGTTTTAATGAAAATACATCCTTGTTTGCACTGTATTTCATCAACCAAATCCTCAAAATATTTAAACCACTGCCAAAAATAACAAAAAGTATAACAACATTAACAGGAATCCTTTTCTTCCTTTCCGCCTATTAACACGTTTCAGCAACAGCAAACTACATGAGGCTGGACAGTCCAAGTGTTAGACAGGGATCACTTTGAAATGGGGTATATGTCCTGCAAACTCATGAAACTTCATCACAGAAAATCTGGGACTTGAACCTGTGACAATTGGTGCCTGAGACGCCCAAGGGAGACAACTTTGCATAACAACCCGCAGCACCTCGGACATCACCCACTTAAGCATGATGACCCTTAACTGACTGAGTTAGGTTTCTACGCCACTTTTAGCAATATTCCAGCAACATCACGGCGGGGGACACCAGAAATGGGCTTCACACATTGTACCCATGTGGGGATTCGAACCCGGGTCTTTGGCGTGACGAGCCAACGCTTTAACCACAAGGCTACCCCACCGCCCCAATGACCCTTAACAAACAGCAAGCAAGGCTAATGTGTCCCTAAATGGTCCTGCCTCTATCATCACAAGCAATTGATCTACTCACTTGCATTGAAGCCAGGAGTCAGGTCTATCTGGTTGAAAGGTGTTTTAGCCTGGCTGTCCACGGTGACACCCTCAGCAGATTTCTCTGCTGTGGAACCCTCAGCCTCCACCGTCTGGTCGTTCTGATTCGTGGGGGTGCCCTCGGTGTGAGCAACTGTCCTTGTGTCAACCCCTGGGGTAGGGATCAGTCTGATAGGACCACCCACTCGGGGGCCAACTTTGGGTGTGACCATCTCTCTCAGGGTGCTGATGAGACCCCCGTCACCCGATGACAGAAGATGGGCAAACGCAGAGATAGCCCTTGTCCGAACACTGTATAAAGAATAGTGTATAGAATTAACGTGACCAGGGTTCCAGGTCATTTCTTTTTAACCATTCACTACTTACTCGCAGGTTATTCACAATGGGCATTGACAGTTACCTTTGGGTAACATGTATTTATTTTCTTGGGTCCTTTACAGATTTTATGTTACTAGGCTCAAATACTTCTTGAGCCATTTAGTTTTTACTCCCTTGTTATTCACAGTGGGCATTTAGTTTCCTTTGGATATTCAATAAATATTTACCCACTATGGTCTAGTCTGTTGGGTTTTGCAAACTGTACAGGGTTTTAATGTCCATGCTTAAAACTAACAACTCTGTACATATTAACACAGCATGTGAGCAGCAGGGTCACTTACGTAGGAGCAATATCGGAACATCGGGATATGAGCAGAATAACCAGAAAGCGATGTGTTGTGTACACCGCCTGCTCAGCTGGAATCTCATCTAAAACAGAGGATATTTTCCTTTGTGAATATTACTGGAAAATTCATTGTGAGTGAGAGAGTTATCTGAGTTTGAGCCTAGTTGTCTGTCATTAAAAGCTTAAACAATGCATCTGATGAATAAACTGTTTAAAAATATTTCTCTTCCCTGCTGATAAATTATTGTGCATCCCTTCTTGAGACAAAACATTGATGCCATTTACAAACTTGAAAATAAACCTCACAGATTTCAAAACTCATGGCATTAAAGCAATTAATTCTGAAGTGTTTTCCACCATGGACACGACTACAACTGCAGCAACTACAATTCATATGCTCACCCTTCAGTTCTCTCTGGGGAACTGCCAACAAGAGGGCAACAACTTCCAGTGCCATCACTCGGCTGTTTATCTGAAGATCATCATCATCATCATCATCATCATCATCATCATCATCATCATCATCATCATCATCATCATCATCATCATCATCATCATCATCATCATCATCCATATCCATAGTACACTGACTGCCAATCTAATTTCTGTGGGAAGATGTCATTACCCCCATAGGAAGTCTATCAGCAGAACTTATGTTGAACTATCAACCTACTTAAGTCTAAAATTGTCTATTATAAGTACAGTCAAGAGAAGCATTCACATATCAGAGACAACAGTCAGACTGAGAGGCCAAAGTTTGCTCAGGGTTCACCTGACCTGAATATGTCAATGAGACAAAACAGGTAACACTGGGCAGAAACAATGCTATTAATAGGTATTTTGGTGCACTTTCCAAACGTAATGCCTGCATCACTTTTTTCAAAGTTAATCTGATTCTTCACAGACTTACCTTTAGTTTATAATTATAGAATCAATATTAACATAGACAAGTCTCACTTTTTGATGTTTGCTGAGTCTCTTCACCCACTCCATCATCTTCACATACGCCTCGTCAGGCAGATCCTCGAACAGAGAAACTACTGTCTGGAACACAAAACCAACACAATAACCCTGTATTACTGCTGAGACCTGTGAAGATGGGGGTTACTTATCTCATGGTCTCCATACCACAGCCATACAACAATTACAAGTTAAAAGTTAGTATCACAGAGTGAAAGCTGCAGCTGATCTTGATGTGTAGTTCAGTTAAAATGTCAACAAAGACAGTCCCTTGACGAAAGATTTACGCATAAGTACTCGGGACATAAACACTAAACACTGAAATCAAAATAATCTGTACAAAATATGATGACATCATCAGAAGAAATATATATGATCTGTTTGATTGGCATTTAGAAGTTGGTGACTAATAAAAAAGTAAGATTGTTTATGGATAACAACTCTTGCTTGACAACGGTATAAGAATCCATCTTGAAACGTCGCATCATATATAATAAAAGAAGTTGTTATCCATAAACAATCTTACTTTCTTAGAAATATATATGCTGATGGTCAGCTTCCTCAACTTGTTTGAGGGGCGGTGGGGAGGCCTAGCAGTTAAAGGGTTCGCTCGTCGCGTCGAAGACCTTGGTTTGATTCCCCACATGGGTACAATGTGTGAACCCTACTTCTGATGGCCCTGCCATGATATTGCTGGAATGTTGCTAAAAGCAGCATAAAACTGAAGTCACTCACTCAACCTGTTTGAGAGATGTTTAAAGAACACTGACTGACTGAGTTTGGTTTTACGCCGCTTTTAGCAATATTCCAGCAACATCACGGCGGGGACACCAGAAATGGGCTTCACACATTGTACCCATGTGGGGATTTCCGGTCTTCAGCTGATCTATCAACGCTTTAACCACTAGGCTACCCCAACCGCCCGTTTAAAGAACAAGGTGTGCCTTTTGAGAGAACCTGTGCAAAAGCATGGTCAAACAAAGGTCAACCTGCATAATATTTCAAGACAAATCCAGAACATATGTGTCAAGCCCTATTACTAACTACATATACACCAATTATTTTCACGGACTGAAACAAAATGGCTGAGTAATGGTCACAATAGTTTTTCAATATGGAGTGAGTGAGTGAGATGTGCTATTATGGGAAGAAACATATGAAGAATATGAAGAGCAGCTCAACTCTGGTTTCTTGGAGATAGATTACAGAGACAGAAGAATATGAAGAGAGAGATAATTACAGAGAGATCACAGAGAGACAGAGAGACAGAGAGAGACACAGAGAGAGAGACAGAGAGAGAGAGAGAGAGAGACAGACAGAGAGAGACAGACAAAGAGGGAGAGAGAGAGACAGACAGAGAGAGAGAGAGACAGACAGAGAGAGGGAGAGACAGAGACAGACAGACAGAGAGAGAGAGAGACAGAGAGAGAGAGAGAGAGAGACAGAGAGAGGAGAGAGAGAGACAGAGACAGAGAGAGAGAGAGAGAGAGAGAGAAAGAGAGAGAAAGAGACAGACAGACAGAGTGACGTTGCTTTTAGCAATATTCCCGCCATATCACGGTGGGGGACACCAGAAATGGGTGAATCAACCTTGGGTCTTCGGTGTGACCAGCATTTAATACAATAAGAATTGTTGAAGGTTATATAGTACCCAAGACTTTTTCTATATATACAGGTTATTGTACCTGAAATGGCCCTCAAATGTGAGCTTTAACAGGACAGGGCAAACAGCCTATTAGAACAGGTTACACTGATATGAGTCAAAATTGTTGCTCCATTGTGATTGAAGAAAAGAAAATTCAAATACTTGTTTGCTATTGTAAATCGTTTATAGGGTTTACATCACAAATAAAAGACTTGTGTCATTGTGAAATAGTAATGAAACATACCTGTGCAACTTTGGTCCTATATTCCGTCTTGTCAGGAACCTTTGTACACAGGTGCTGTAAGAGATGCATTGTAGGGGAGATAACTCTCTCATCTCCTTCTTTGATCAAGAACCTGAAACAATTGTGTCTATGTCAAGGCAGGTGAGGTCTTGTGTGTAATCTGGTGTGCAATGTGGAGATTGAGGGTAGTAATGTACCTATGGGGAACCTAACCAGGGTCTTCCGTGCGACGAGCGAAAGCTTTTACCACTAGGCTACCCCACCACTACTCTAGTAGGAAGAAAATACTCAGTGACTAAGTAAGTCTGGCCAAGTAAATATTCAAGTCTTGGCCAGACAATCCAGTGATTGATCAACCTCAGAGTATGATGATGCCAGCATGATGACACAGGCCATCATGCTGGCATCATCATACTCTGAGGTTGATCAATCACTGGATTGTCTGGCCAAGACTTGAATATTTACCACAGTCATTTTGTTAGCATATTGTTGAGTGTGTCATCAAACTACAGACAAACAATGAACCCTTACAGTTTAAGCTGGGAGGCCCATGAAATCTTGCATGTAAAGTTGTCTTTTAATTTACAAAATAAACTAAATATGCAGTGGTAAACACTTTCAAGTATATCAAAACATTCAAATGGCACAAGCAAAGGTTGATGTATCATATTTAAGGCCTTTTCAAGAGTATAATCATATTTGTGGACAAGTCAATTTCAAACTTTTTTTTGAACCGTGAAGATCTGGGTTAGAATTGATCTTCAGTAACCCATGCATGTCATAATGGGTGACTAATGGGATCAGGTGGTCAGGCTCGCTGACTTTCTTGACACATGTCATCGTATCCCAATTGCGTAGATCGATGCTCATGCTGTTGATCACTGGATTGTCTAGTCCAGACTCGTTTATTTACAGACTGTCACCATACAGCTGGAATAGTGCTGAGTGTGGCGTAAGACTAAACTCACGCACTCTTTTCTTTGGACTAGTGAAATCAGACTATTTTCTTTCTTGCATAGTTGAAGTGATCATGTGGAACATACCGTATGAACTTGACAGCATTGTCCCTGGTGTTGACGACAGGCCGAGGTATATTCTGGGCTATGACAGACTTGTTGTTGCCGATCAGCATTAGAACATTCTGTAGCAGGTACTTGAACGTCTGGAACGCATCAATGTCAGAACGCTTACTACACTTCAAGTCATATATCCTGAAGGCTATCCTAGTAGGTTTAATCCACCAAAAGATGACTCAAAGACATATATTTGAACACATGAATGCCTTATGGTTCCCTTTTAAATGAAATCTCAGAAATGGGAAATCTTATGGCCACCACTTTGGAGCAAATTTTCATTTCTTTAGAGCATTATAAACATCAAACTTTGACAACCATTAGGACTAGATTCTATCTCATAAACTGAGTTTATGCTACCATGGTTTACATGTTTCTTTCAACTACACTTCATTTCGAGGAGTGAGTAGATGCAAAAATTGTGATTGCTGTGAATAATAAGGATCGGATCGGAGGGACAGATGATTTCGCTGCAGTTAACATAATATTCTTGAATTACGCTTTGAGCAAAATTACACTAGGCTGCAAACATAAGTCCAAATATGCAAAGAACATGTTTTATTACGCGATAGCATAACAACAGGATTTACCAATACGAATTTGTTGGTAATCTATTTCCGATGACTGCCCAACACAAGAAGATGAATGATGGTTATGTACAGAACATACCATTTTGATACTGATTTTAAGGGTCAAGTTAGGACCTCGGCTTACTGAGATTGGCTTATCTGCGGTCACATATCATAGATCATAGCGCTGGGACAGATAGGTCTGGCTGATTGGGTCTAAGGTAGGACCCTGTTGGCCACAGACTAGCGGGACTCAAAATTGGTTTAATGACAGTAACAAGACGCCATGGTTATACAAGTTGCAAACACTTGCTATTCGTGCTGACTATGCATGCAAACTCTGACTTTACTATGTTTCAGTTAAAGTAAAGCTTCATAGGATAATATTTAAAATGTGAGTAACTTGGTTTTTTTGCCAGGGCTACAGTACAACAATCTCCAATCGGACATCTTGAGTCCTACAGTAGGTACCCATGTTGGATGGCTAAAAATGGTGTAGTAGGGGGTTGGTTACCAAGGTAAATATAGACCCATCCCTTCATTATAAAATAAGCAAGTCTGAAGTGAAATGAGGACAATATGACTTAAGTTCACTACCTCTGAACTCACAGTGTGTTCCCCGTCAAAGTTACAGTAAACAGAATGACTCTTTTCACTTTGGGGTGATACTAAATATTACTATATCATCACTAAACCACCAATATCGATTCAAACATGAACAAATTTAAGAATGAAACAGATCTGACAAGTAAGCCCATTTGATAAACCAGGGTATTTTTCATACATTCTATTACAATTATGACCCTCAGTCTATCTGTGAAGCTGCCTACTAACGTGGTGTACTTACTGCTGTTGTCATGGAAACGACATGGCCATGGATAGGTGAGCATATCGCAGTCATCCCCTGAAGAAGAAAGTAATTGAATGGTTGACATATGGCTCAGGCAATTCTGGGAAAATACACTGTAAACATTGTACTGGAACTCTACCCTTGTTCTACTTGGTGAGAATTGTGAGAATTGTGTCCTGCCAATTTATCTTATTGCAAAGAGCAGAAACAATGTCGGAAGAGAGAGGTCCAGGGGACTAAAACAAGTTGGGTTGGAATAGCATCAGCAGTTCGTGGGTTGGTAACACTCGTTCTTCCAACACCCATGTATACGTAGGTTTGATCTGAGGTTTTGGTGTGTTATATAGCACAGGTATTTCTGTTAGTTCTCTGTTTACCACAGAAACTTGTGAAGTATGGTTGATGGAATGTCTTACCTTGTATGCAAAGCATGCAGGAGACATATGACTTGGTCTGGGCCTGTAAACACATAATGTTGAACAAGATACTACGTCATCTTAGTCCACATGTAAATAAATCTAACATATGTCCTAATATTATACTTCAAGCAAATGAAGCACACACATATGTAATGGAGAGTTACAGTGATAATACCATACTGCAAGGTCATTACATGATATGTCTCAAGATGTACATAGGTCAGAATGTGTATCGTGATACACACATTCACGTCAAATCCTATGGAAACTTTTGGACTAACAATATTCCAGGTTCCAATTTAAAAAGGCTAGCTGTAGATAGATATTGCAGCTATATGGCGGTGGTCTGTAAATAATTGAGTCTGGACCAGACAATCCAGTGATCAACAGCATGAGCATCGATCTATGCAACTGGGATACAATGACATGTGTCACCAAGTCAGCGAGTCTGACCCCTGATTCCGTTAGTCGCCTTATACAACAAGCATGGGTTGCTGAAGATCAATTCTAACACGGATCTTCAAGGACCCAGTATAATTATAACAGTACGAAACAAACAGTACAGAGATATGAAACCCTAGGTAATAAATGGTATCTCACCAGCTGCCAAACTCTGTGGTGATGAGATCCCCATCCATCCTTGATATCTCTGCCAGAACCATAATGGCGTGATGGGCTGTCGACTCCGAAGACTTGAGCGAGAACGTCTCCAGTAGAGCCACAAGATCCTGCACACATAAATAATCTGTCACGCATCTTGTATTTGTTCTTCTCAGTATAAATCTATAGATGCCTACAGCATACAGCATCAGGAAGCCTTGACAGTAGCCTGCGTTTAGTGCAGTTCTGAACAGTGTTTCAGTTATGTCACTGTGTAATGAGATAAGACATGACATCACACTGTCATGTGACCAGACATGACATCATACTATCATGTGACCAGACATAACATCATACTATCATGTGACCAGACATGACATCATACTGTCATGTGACCAGACATGATACCATACTGCCATGTGACCAGACATGACATCATACTGTCATGTGACCAGACATGATATCATACTGTCATGTGACCAGACATGACATCATACTGTAATGTGACCAGACATGACATCATACTGTCATGTGACCAGACATGACATCATACTGTCATGTGACCAGACATGATATCATACTGTCATGTGACCAGACATGACATCATACTGTCATGTGACCAGACATGACATCATACTGCCATGTAACAAGACATGACACCTGGGTATATTGAGAGCTGACATCACATTAGGGCAACATGACATAAACAAGTGACATGACACTTGTGTATGTGATTCCCCATGCCATCAGTAAGTGCTGTAACTTTACATGATATCAAAGGGTGATTTGATCCAACATGACATCACATGATAAATGACCGGACATGACACCATGGCATGATGTCACCCATCATGACATTATGGCATGTGACTGACCTGAAGCAGGTCCTTCATCATGGCATGGAAGCGAGCTAGCTGCCTCGGCGTCAACTCCTCCTCCTCCAACCCATCATCCTCCTCATCTTCATCAGGGAACTCAGAGATGTGTAAATTCTGGAATGATATACATAACACACATGCTGATATAAAGTCCAATGTTGGAACTAGACCTTTGTCAGCTACTACAATTGATATATCGATAATTGTGTAACAGTCTTACTTTTACTGAGAACAGCAAGAATGTTGAAGAAAGGTTGTTACGACTGCCTCAGTGCTATGATTGCTTTAAGAAATGGAGTAATTGAGTGGCAGCAAATTTAGGTCTTCATACAAATGAACAAATTCTTATGTAAGCATTACGAAAATAAAGAAAGTGGCAGAATTAGCGTGTCTTGTCTAATGCAGTGAAGCCGAGACAGGTCAGTACTTTTTCAATTTAGCCACTAAATGATAAACTAAAGAAAAGACACTGATAACGTACAGTTTCAACAACACATGCTACATTCTACACAAACAACCGCTAGTGACTAACTGTGTTCTCTGCCGAAATCTTCCTGCCTCTCTTGGCGCCACGCCCCTTCTTGCTTCGCTGGCTACTCTGGCTCCTGGAGGCTGATGGAGAAGTCCGCTTCCTCTTACATGATCCTGCAATGCATTGTCATATTTAGGTGAAGATAAGGAGTTGAACAAGAGAAGAGCATGCATGTTTCAGAATATTCATAATACAAATAACACAGGGCTATAACCACATTCATAAAAACTTCTCATACCATTTAGAGTGAGTGAGTGAGTTTAGTTTTACGACGCTTATAGCAATATTCCAGCAATATCACGGCAGGGGACACCAGAAATGGGCTTCACATATTGTACCCAAGTGGGGAATAGAACCCGGGTTCTAGAACTTCGGCACGACAAGCAAACACTTTAACCACTAGGCTACCCACTGCCCCCATACCATTTAGAGGCATTGAACATGGTCTCTATAATTCATCAAATACGGTAATAAAGTCAGAACACTCCTCTGTATCATATTTATGTAATTACACAATGAAATCAAATTCTTTTTCCTGGCAAATTCGATTTCCAACGGTTTTGGGCTATATATAATATGAATGGCAATGTGAAAGTTGATAAAACAAAATAAAATAGCTGCATATGAAACAAATACTGACCTGAACATATTACCTCCTCTCTCAACTATGAATAAACAATGGATGACTATTGTTGACTGTTGCTTCACTAATATTCTATCAATAGTTTAACTGTAAACACAAAAATACCAAATGGACGTACGTCACAAACAATATGTGCAATCAAACCTGAGTCATTAACATGTTTAAGTGCTTTAAGCACTGCGCTACTCAACTTCCTATCTTGGGACAGTGAACACAATACTAACCAAGTTTATTCCAGAGCTTGAAGACATCCACAGCCTTGATGAAGAGCTCTGGGCTGTACACCTTGAAGGCACCACTTCCTGGTTACAGAAACACAGGTAGTAACACTACTGCATGGAACACAATCTCTAACTCCAGCTATCACTTCAAAGCTTAGGTGAAATTCTTGTTGATCTACGTCACCATGCTTAGCTTGAATGACAATAACCTGTGTTAACGATCTACTCACAAAACTTCAAAAATTAATTACTTTCTTCATTATACAGTACTACATCATGTACTTGACGTCATTTTGTAAATAATTATGTCTAAACAAAACACTCTTCTGGGCCTCTTCTGGCTGGCTACACCATTTACATATTTTCAAAATGTCTATATTTCCATCAATCACAGATGTGTAAACATTAGACTGTAACCATGGTAACCATGCATCAAACTATCGATGGATTGCAATTGTTGAGTCTCCGATAGCAATTAATCGATGGTAGAAACAAAAAACTATCGATGCATCGATAGTATGTGTGACTATCGATAGTTTAGTAATTGACTTCTGTTGATAAATGCGTAGCGTAAAATACAGATGTTTGGGTGCAGACTTGCTGCTTCATTGAGTTGATCTGGGTTTCAAGTTTCTTGTCAGTTATTAAAAGAGACTGAAACTACTCCAACTTGTTCTTATTTCATATAAACTATACATTCATTTGGGAAATGACTTCAAATGAGACAATTCAAGGAGAGAAATAATATTGCAATAGTTGGTGTCAATAGACTATCGCTATTGCAATGGTATGTTGCAACAGACAATCGTTATCGTAATAGTTGTTCCCCATCAATAGTCACCCCTAGTAAACCTGAGTTAGAAGATAATCTCACAGCAAGAGAGATACAAACAAGATGATGATGATGGCTGCTGTATGTTAACAAAGTTTCACAAACATTCAGGTTTTGGCAAACAGAGCTGAGGTGTAACTTGTAAGAGACTTCTGCTTACCTGGTACAGTGATAAGCTTGAAATAGGTGGCAGCAGACAAGATGGCTGCTTCTCTCTGTCCAGAGCCAGATGTTAACTGCATGTTGAGATAACACACAACGTGGTGATTGTTTGAATTCAGAATAAAAGTTACAGGTCCAGTAACCCTAATCATCAAGGTTATAATTACACTAAAATGGTAAAATCTGAAGTAGTTCCCACATTCAAATACTACAATATACGTTGTTCACTGGTCTCGAGGGGGACATGGTTTGATGTACTCTCGATGTTTGTTCATGTTCCCTGCGCCCAAAGGAACATAAAGAAACATCGAGGGTACATCAACCCATGGGTCACAAAGGGACAAGAGAACAACATATTTATCATACCGAACACCTCAATAGTAATTTTGAACTGTTTGAAGCATGGGTATCGGATCATAGTATGTAGTACCAGACGACAAGACAAGAAAATCAAATTTAGAGTTATCTCTCTTCCATCGATTTGCATTTGCAAACCATCAGTGATTTCCGACATCATATTCATATGTGATTCAATGTTATTCGAGATAAAGAATTACTACAATGAGAACAGCATTCCCAGCGGGGTACATAGAAAATGTTACTCGCTTGAAAGTGGGGTACACTGAAAATAATAGGAGACAGCTCAGCCAATCAGAAAGCGACATTTATGTGTGAGGCAAGATAATAGACATGATAGATAGAAAAATCAAGGATTTCAAGATACCTTCTTTCTGAGAAAGATGCTTTAGATGTGAAACTAAATTTTGACAAATCAGTTACCTAAAGAGTATACCTCAACTAGTAGCTGCCATCCAATTCCTACCTTACAACCGCTATCTATGAGATATCCCAACACGGCAATGATGGCCTTCACGGACACATCATTCTCCACCAGAACAGTCCAGAAACCTGCAAGTTTGAGCATTTCCATTTGCATTTGATGTTAGAAGAAATCTCTAAGAAATGTACCAGTAAGATAATGCATTTAAAATAATATTCCTCACTATTAACATATTAACTATCTCTAAAATGAACAATGTGGTTCAGGTGAAATTGAGTTTGAGTTTGGTTTTACTCTGCCTTTAGCAATATTCCAGCAACATCATGGCGGGTGACACCAGAAGTGGGCTTCACACATTTTGCCCATGTGGGGAATCAAACCCGGATCTTCAGCGTGACGAGTGAACACCTTAACCGCTAGTCTACCTCACCGCCCCTCAGATGAAATTAATATTATAGCACATTTAGCCTGTTTAGCCAAGCTTGGACATGCTGAAATGAATATAATATACAAAGAAATATATCAAAGAAGGTAATATATAAGGCCAAATAAAAAAAATGTTGTGGTTCCGATTACACCTCTTTAAAATTTAGGGTAGGTAGGTAGGTAGGATTTTTTTTTTTTTAAATGTTGTTTTAGAAGTAAAGTACGAACTAATAACACATTTATCAATCTGTAATTGTTTATTCAATCAAGCTTGTGGCCATCATGTCAACTTTCTCTCTCAGAATGATAATGAGTTATTAATGACCGATATCTGTCGGTGTCGGGAAAACAACCATGGTATCTGAAAGGTCATTTTATTCATACCGCTTTAAAAAAAATATGATCGGCACAAGAATTCAAGGGTCGGTCGGGTAATCAAAACCACAACATTTTTTTTAGTCCTAACAAAAGGGTAAGAAAACCAAGTTATCAGTCATAAGAATTTGTAAAATACGTCCACAATGCTCTCAGTTTAGCACAATCAGATATGAGTGATGAGTTCATATGCTCAATGGAATATTCTTATAAAACTCATACCCTCTCCTGTGTTGACTTCTTTCTGCACCAGCCAGTCGGATAGAAGTGACTTAAACTCCTCCAACTGGGTTGTGAAATAGCTGTTGGACTGGAAATCTTCCAGGATGTCCTCTGGTAGGGCTTCGATCTCGGTGAAGTCATTGTCCCACACACTCTTCACCCAGTCTGAAATTAGTTTGTAAAGCATACACTGTTAAAATCTCTTGGGATTATCAGATCAGTGCTAAAGCCTAAGGCATGGTTTAAAACATAAACATGAATTTGATAAAGACACAGTTAAAATATGTTTTGATGTCTAAAGAGCATACTTAGAAATAATCTTTTACCAACATGGATTTATTTGCAGAACATTGGAGGTGCATTAACATAATTTTCACATTTTACAACATGCACAGGTTCTGCTCATTCAGAAAACTGCACAAAAATTACCTTTGTAAGTTCATGTAAACATAATAAGTTAACTCAAATAATTATCATGATTATGATTTAAAGAAGGCACCTTTGTTTTTGGCTTGGCATTAGAGATATTAATGACCGAATTGTCAGATACCATTTGGCAATAACAGACCTCAATACCCTAATAATATCCTTTAATGAGGGAAGGATTTCACGAAAATAGTGGAAAGTGCTTTTCATAGACTTAGTCACCATAGGTGCATGTATGGTTGTGGTGAGAGACTCAAGGAACACATTTTATATACATCACACAGGCCATTCTATCAGTGAAACAAGGAGCGTTTCTTAATCATTTGCATTACATCATCAAACCAATGTTGTTTAAATAATTTAGTTGACAGGATTCTTTGAATGTTGGCGATTCTTGAAGCATGTTAATTAGGTTAGTCCACTTGGGCCATGCTTATCAGTCCGGTAAGACTTCCGCCCATATCCCCCTAAATGTTAACAATGACGAACAATTTCTTTGAGTGGCATTTTTAGAAGCAGAATATGTCTTTCAGTATGTTCAGATACAATTAAAGAAATATGTTAAAACTTATCCTAATGAGGAATATATACTATTATTCAAGTGATATGATTTGACTAGAATGAAATTTGAGGGGGATATGGGTGGAAATCTTTCCCTAAATCATACTTATTAGTAAGTTTAGGGCACTAATGATCATGATGATGCTGACATGGTCAGCTGACCGTCTGATACACCTGTACCCAGTGTGTACCGGAACATTATGATCATGCATTTCCATGAATTACATCAACAACTGAGGAAGGCAACAAGATCTATCTGAACCAAAAAATGGCAACAAAGTTTACAAATATCCATTATTAATTATAAGTGAGTGAGTGAGTTTAGTTTTAGTATATGTGATCTGCTTCTCATAAATCTAAATTCAAATGTGTTCGTTGTTTCCATGCCTGCTATGAACACATAGGCGCTTGACTCTGATATGTTTATATATAAGTATGACCTATATATATATATATCTTATATATATATAGGTCATACTTATAAACATATCAGTCAAGCGCCTATGTATGAACATGATAATATGTGTCAATATGATATAACAGGTCAACGTCCTTTGTTCATTAACATGCATGACGTGAATAAAAAAAACCCAAACATATGAAGTACAAATTGTATTTTATAAAAGTTTCACCTCTTGCAGGAAAAGGTAGTGTCAGCCTGTGTAGTGATCATGGTGATAAATTCGCAATTCATTTTGAACTGTTTCGTAGTTATGCGTTAAATCCCCGCATATTATGTCTTTCAGACAAATTCTGTTTAATGTCCGTATACATGATAGAAGACCTTTATGATCATATCAGCGAACGTCTTGTCAATATTTGTCAACAAACAAACTGTCACCAATTTGAGAGGAAAAGTACATATGAAATTTGGTCTAAAGAATATGAACCGACGTGGAGGGTAAAGTCTATGCAAGGTACATCGTTTCACAAAATATTCGAGGGAATACACTGGTTATTACCTTCGGAAACCAGGGAAATTGAAGCGCTGACGCGACTTCCACAGTCCGCTCTATCTCCGCCATTTTTCAATTTTGCCGCTATTTCGTCCACTTCCGCCTATGATTTGAAAACTAAACTAAAATACGAAAATGGATTTAAGGGATAACATAAATAATAGCTCTGGTGTATTGGTTGTGCATCATATCGATTCGACAACTATCAATACCATCGTATATTAGTGAATTTAACACAACTGTAATTAACAGGGTTTTCTTTATTATAAATAACATATAAGGTTTAAAAACGGGCACTTGTTAGATAAAATCTAAATCGAAACGAAAGAACGTAATGATTGGCTGCTGGGGACACACCTTCGACACCCATTGGCTCGACCTACCGAACTGGGTCCACTCGAGGTCATCGTTTTGTGGCAACAACATGGAGGTGTTGAGAAAAGGTAAGACTCGCGTGAAAGATTAAGTTCCGTTGTGTTAATCATTCAGGTTTTCTAATGCATTACGCTAAGGAACCCGAAAGATAAATCTCCAAAGATGAAAAGACGCCTCCATGTTTGACATAATTTCCTGATGTGCAGTAATCTTGGTTCGATTGAGTGAAGTGAAGTGCAAATGTTGAAATGTGTTGACGTGTTTTAAGTTATTTAACCAACAAAAAGCCAAAAGAGCTGCAAAATAATGTCATGTCATACTCAAAGTTTATGGAATGGAGCCCATGGAATGACTCCACAAATACTCAGTTGTTTTAGACAGCTAGATCTTTACCAGAAGTCCGCCATCACAAATGTTGTCAATTGGTATCCAGTCACCTGGTCACTATGTTCAACTGTTTGATGCTTACTTTACCTGGCTTGGTCCAAAGACGTATATACGTCTTTGCTTGGTCCTATTCCGCACATGGGTACAATGTGTGAAGCCCGTTTCTGGTGTTCCCAGCTGTGACATTGCTGGAATATTGCTAAAAGTGACGTAAAACCATACTTGTAAACTCACTCACTCACTCACTCACTCACTCACTCACTCACTCACTCACTCACCTCACTCACCTCACCTCACTCACACACTCACTCACACAAAAGTATACATTTTGCAGAAATGTTTAAGTCATATCTCAGTGTGCACAAATATATATGGAATGGATGCTGACCAAAAATATTGGGTCCTAGGTCAGAAGTGATAATATTGAAGTTCCTGTGAATGAAATGATTATCAAATCTTACAGTACACTCCGCTACACTGTTTCATTAATTTATCAGATCCTCATCAGTCTTGCAAGAAATTTTAAAATTAATTTCCGGGGCCCTCTTGGATCCCAGATTTGTAAGTCAGTGCAAAATCATGATAATCCAGAATACACCTTTGGAAATCTAAAATCTTTTTTTGCCTTATTTTTTGGGTTCGATAGTAGATACAGTTTTGTGGATCACTTACATGGATTTTGTTTCGGTAAACAATATAACCCAAGGATTTGTCATTTATGATATATATATATGATAAATTATGTCATGTATAATTATTTTTCCTAGGTTTGACAGGAGTTAGCTCCCTTGTACAAAGGAGTCATGTGATTCGACGTGGCACTGCAACTTTGTCTGCTACCAGAGATCTGTTAGAGCAAGAGTTGGAAGGCATCAGGGATGCAGGCACATGGAAATCGGAGCGCGTCATCACTTCTCGTCAGGGATCTGCCATCCAGGTTCAGGGCCAGTCAAGTAATATCCTCAACTTCTGTGCCAATAATTACTTAGGACTGTCGGTGAGTGGGACACAGTTGCATTATCATGATTATTATGTCTGCAATGCCAACTTCTTACACTCTATGTATTAGTGGTGGTCCGGTTAATTGAAATAATCCAAGATTGGTCGCAGTGACTAAACGACCAAGCAATCAATCATGTTTTCTCATAATCGAACACAAACAATTCTGGAACACTTGTTGGCTTTCACACAGTTGGTTTTGTCTGTTACATTTCATGAGCACTACAAGCCGTCCAAGTCATGATTGAATTTATCTTAAAGACCCCCAAGAAATTTATGCTCCTAACATACTAGTCATCTTTTAAAGTTGAGCAATTTGCAAAAAAAACCCAAAACCCCCAAAATAACTACAGTGCACTCTGTCTAATTCGGACCAGCTTGGGACCGACTAAAAAGTCCGAATTATACAGTAGTCCGTAGTACACACATTTTAATGATGGAGTTATGGAGTTATCTCCCTTTGACGAACATACGATCGTGCATGAAACACATGTTACATGAATGCGTATAATAAAGACGAAACACTGACAAAGTACATTTACATTTGTTTATTACATACAGCTTCAGTTTGTGAAGAAATCAGTCATCAAAGACTGTGACTGGCTTTTAAGTGACTGTTTTAGAATCAGGGTTGTTTATTCAAGGTTTGTTGGCCAAGCGGACTTCCTGCTCAGTCCGAATTATATAGCAATGTTTTTACGTGTAAGTACCTTATCGGGCCGACACTTTGGTCCGAAATCCGACATAATGAGAGTCCGAGATACAAAACATTTTTATTATGACAACAAAGAAGGATTACGTCGGGACCGTGAGTTTAGTCCTGTTTATACAGCAATCCGAGAAAGACAGAGTCCGAGAAAGACAGAGTGCACTGTACATGTTTTTTCTTTATGTTTTTGTGCAAACAAACATAACCAGGAAAATCTGATAAATGACGCTAACCAATTATTTTCGATGATTGATCAGTTGTAATGAACCAATCATCAATTATAACATTTTAACCAATTCCCAACACTAATATGTATACAGTGATTGATACACTATTACACAGCACACACTAGTATTTGATCTTCGTAAAAAAGAGGCCTGTGAAGATCCGGGACAGAATTGGTCTTCAGCAACCCAGGTGACTTGGTTAACACGTGTCATCGTCATCGATGCTCCTGCTGTTGATCACTGGATTGTTTGGTACAGACTCGATTATCTACATACAACCGCCATATGGCTGGACAAACAAACAAACAAAATCATAGAAACAAGTCATTCATGCAGGCTAAGTTTCATGAGATTATTAGAAACCTGTTCTTTTCTCATTTTCAATGATGTTTACTTGAGGAATTTGAGTCTTATGATTTTAACTTCTTGTTACTCTGTACAAATGAAACTCACAGTGCTGATTAGTGATAATGCCATTTACTAGATGAGTGAAAAACATGCATTCGTGTTGAGGAACTACTTCTCATTATTGCAAATGCCTTCAAGGGTCACCCAGAGGTCATTGAAGCTGGCAAGAAAGCTCTAGAGTCTCATGGTGCTGGTCTCAGCTCCGTCCGATTCATATGTGGAACACAGGTAGGTGTGATGTCTTACTCTGGTTGAGGTCAGCTGAAATAAATTCTTGTTCCTTATGACCTTTTTCAAAACTGCAAAAAGTGCTAAGGAGGATTGTTGTTTTTTCTAATTGCTCCAACTTTTTGATAATTTATTGAGTCCTGAATCATATTTGCTATAGTCTGTTTGCAGTGAAAACGTACCGATAAATTACACTCTAAATAAAAAAGTAAATCGATTAAAGCGAAATTAAGATTGAGAATCCTCATGATTTTACCTTGCCAATTGAACATTCAAATCTCAGAATTTTATTCAACTTAGGATAAAAGTTGTTTAACAAATGATCATAGTTTCAAATCGCTATTATTGGTTTGTATTACAAGGGGGTATACACATTAGATGAAACACCTAGAACAAGTAGGGCTGGTCTAAGTTAAAGCTCATCACGTACCGCACGTGCATTTGTTTCACTGTTCCATCTACTGCACTTACCCCTTGTAATACAAACCAATAATAGTGATTTGAATCTATGATCGTTTGTTAAACAACTTTTATCCTAAGTTGAATAAAAGTTCGAGATTTAAATGCTCATTTGGCAAGGTAAAATTATGAGGATTCGCAATCTTAATTTCACTAAATTTGATTTACTATTTTGTTTAAAGTGAAATTCATTGGTACGTTTTCACTGAAAACAGACTATAAGTGTCTTTATTATCCATATTGTGAAACATACCCAGTGTCATATATATATCATATGTGCACATGTCACTTTTTGCCTAGCAACCATTGTTTCTCTATTTCGTTGTCAATGAACGTGGTGTCAATGAACAGGGCAGTCACACTTGCTTACCATGTTTTACTGCACAAATGTACATGAATAAAATGGATAATAAAGAAATTATTACACGAGCAAGTGTGCCAGACGATTTATACGAAACTTGTGCAAAATTGTGTATTATTTTTTGCCCTCGTTCTCGCTCGGGCAATACAAAATTTCACACTCATTTCGTATAAGTCGTATGACACACTTGCTTGTGTAATAATCTCTATTTATGTTGCAAGGACCCTTTAAAGAATCCGTGTCACGGCTACACGGTACCTCTACAAATCTGACACACAGTGACTTGAATGAGGGATATACCATAAGTGATTGCAATAATCAGAGTAGAAAAAGATGTTTCTTGAACATAAATGAAGTTATTAGTGGAGGAGGCATAGAAAGCAAGAAATTGGTTTATACAAGCCTTATCTTGGATTGTATATTATATATTTTGATTGAACACGGTTACCATGGTTACTACGATGTTAAATCTCTCCAGGATATCCACAAAGACCTTGAAGCTAAGATTGCAAAGTTCCATGGCAAGGAAGATGCCATTTTGTACATCAGCTGTTTTGATGCCAATGCTGGCATCTTTGAGGTGCTGTTGTCGCCTGAAGATGCCGCCATTTCAGACGAACTGAATCATGCCTCCATCATCGACGGCATCCGCCTCTGTAAGGCACAGAGACATCGCTACAAGCACAGGGACCTCAAGGGTAGGGGCTGTTATAAAGTACATCATGGAATTTGTCTAGGCATTCTCAGAAGCTCATGTCAGTTCATGTCAGTATAGCTGTTACTTTGTTTGTTTCTTGTTTAAAACTGCACCCAGCAATATTCCAGCTATATGGTAGCAGTTTGTAGATAACTGAGTCTAGACCAGACCAGTGGTCAACAGTATGAGCATCGATCTACCCAATTAGGAGTGAGTGAGTGAATTCAGTTTTACGCCGCTTGTAGCAATATTCCAGCAATATCACGGCAGGGAACACCAGAAATGGGCTTCACACATTGTACCCATGTAGGGAATCGAACCCGGGTCTTCGGTGTGACGAGCTAATGCTTTAACCACTAGGCTACCCCACTGCCCCAACCCAATTAGGAAACGATGACATGTGTCAACCCAGTCATCGAGTCTGTCCACCCAATCCTGTTAGTCGCGATCGCCTCCTAGTTGTAACTAACGGTATGGTTTTGACATCGTAGTGATGATAGCGGCAAAGAAGAGGAAGAGGCTATAATGTTTTCCTGGATCAAACAGAAATTTCAGGTTGGAATAGGTTCCTAGCTACCTACGCTTGTCGAAAGAGAAGACTAAATGGAAAGGATGGTCAGGCTTCCTGTATATCGTCTTATCTCAACTGTGTATATCGATGCTCATGATGTCGATCACTGTTTTATCTGGCTCAGACTCACTTATTTAGAGACACCATCATATTGCTGGAATATGCATTAAATGACAAACAAATAATTGTCTTTTTCAGATCTTGAGAGCCAGCTTCAAGACACCCAGAAGCTTCGCCAACGGTTAATCATCACTGACGGTGTCTTCAGCATGGACGGAAACGTCGCACCTCTGCCGTAAGTATGGCACACCCCTGTGGGGTTCCAGGTTAGAATCCTTGGCAGTCTATGCTGGTTGTAGCAGACAGCTAAATGGATCAGCTGGTCAGGCTCAATGACAGCACTGATTGTGTGTCATCAGAGGTTGAATGGTTTTGCTTATGATGTAAATTATTTTATCATCTGGTCAGGTTTCACTTACTTGAGGCTTCTTTCACATTCAGTAAACTATGGTACTAACAAACACAATCCCCCATGAAGCACCGGGTTGGAATTGGTCTTCAGCAACCTAAACTTGTCGTAAGAGGCGACCAACAGGGTCTGGTCATCAAGCTCCGTGACTTATTTGATGCATGTCATTGTATGACATTTATGTAGGTAGGTGCTCATGATGTCAATCACTTGATTGTCTGGTCCAGACTCGATTATTTTCAGACTGCCATCACAAAGCAGGAGTAATGCTGAGAGTGGAATTAAACAACACACAGAGAGACAAACAACTCCAAGAGACCACTAATGTTATGCATTACCAATATACACACAGAGCTCCAGATACGATTTAGCTCATGTGGGTACTGTACCCACTGTATTTTTTGGGAGTGGGTGTTATGAATGTTAAGTGGGTATTTCATTTTCCGTTACCCACTGCTTTCAAATATGTGCATATTTCGGTCATTTTACTCACCTAAGTATTATGTGACTGAGTAAGTTTACTGAGCAGGTATGTTCTGCCTTATGTCATACCCAATCAAAACCAACTTAAAATGTAATGGACATGATTTCATAAAAAATCACTCATCCTATACTGACAGTACAACACTTGTCCTATACTAACAGTACAACTTGATAGCAATCGATGTCTTTTTCATTAGGCAAGCGATTTTTATAAATATATTCCGTACACATTTGTTTTAAACTTTTTGCGTATCTAACATTTTAAATGTGTAATTGGTACGCAACAATTATTTTTCAATGCGTAATTGGAAATTTTATATGCATATTTTACACGGATACGCAGCTTATCTAGGCCTCTGTACACATCTCAACTCAAGTACAAGGCAAGAGTCTGGGATGAAATGTCTTTACAAAACAGTTTGTTATATCGATAACTTCATTGTAAGCATGTTGATTATAAGAATAGTTTACTGAAGATTGGTGGGTGTGGGAGTGTGGCATTCAACGCTACTGTCTTCATGGTGCTGGGTGTCCTTCCTCCTCAGTCAATAACTTGCTGCCTGCTCCATTGTTACCAATTTACCGATTCCGTGAGATTCTGATTTCATATATGTGTATCTGTTCACGGAACACTTTCCATTCATTACCATCTGCAGAGACATCTGTGACCTTGCTGACAAGTACAAGGCCATGGTGTTTGTGGATGAATGCCACGCCACTGGCTTCTTTGGCAAGACAGGCAGGTGAGAATACTTAATCCACTGCTGGAAATGTTGTGATGAAATAGTCCAAGGGTTGATACAGCCCATTATCATGCTTGTTCAACACCGGAAATGTCACATGATTTCGGTACACTTACAGAATACCGGATACATACCAACCATATTATTTAATGTCACGTTACCCTGACCCTAACCCGAACCCTAAACCTTACCCTAACCCTTAACCTTGCCCTAACCCACCCGAACCCTAACCCTTACCCTTAACCTTGCCCTAACCCTAACCCTAACCCTAACCCTAACCCTAACCCCAAACCTTACCCTAACCCTAGGGTTAGGAAGGTATCCGGTATTCTGTAATCTTACCCATGATTTCAACCACACTCTAACTGCATAAGATCGTTTTATTCAAGTTTAAATACAGAAAATAGTGTCGAGCAACCTTCATCATCAGAAATATTTTAGTTTCTGTTACAGTTTTCTGTATTATTCTGTGATATTAAACATCTTACAACTGTAGTCATTGCCAACAGCTATCCATCCTCGATAATCTCCAGGGTATACGTTCCAATATACTTCACTACACCCTGGATGTATCTACTGCTCGGCCCGATAGTTTTATTACCTCCCTAGGCTGGCTTTTTATCCAATCAGGTGTCTACGCTTGGAAGTTGAGCACACCAATCCCAAGGCTTCTATCACAACTCAATTTCACTTCTTTTCTAACCGATTAAACCTGGCAAAACAATTGTTGCCGAGGCACCCTGAAAGAGGCAGTAGGAGTTCTTGCATGTGTTTTTTAAGGTTTTAGACCTGTCAATTTGTCTGTATGATTTTTCCCCTAAATCTGAGTTGCACAGCGAGCAAACCTTTCAGCTGCTATTTATGTTGACACTGGCAAGCTCACTTGTAACGACTTATCTAACTGGCTGCTGTGAGAATGCAGAGTCAGCAAAGGGAGGTAATAAAATTACCGTAGATGCAGCCAGGGTTCTAGTGGAGATTTATCAGACCACACCTGTGTCGGTTGTCGCAGTGATTTTACTTAGTACTTCAGGGTTCACCCGTCTCACATACACGTTATGTCATTGACTGGTAATGCTGTTTCTCTACACAGAGGGACAGAGGAGTATTTCAACCTGAACAACCGAGTAGACATAATCAACTCAACTTTGGGCAAAGCTCTAGGAGGAGCAGCAGGTAGGGTTGCTTCAGGGTTTACAACATTTTACTGGTTGTTGATGCAAGTTGTTAAGGCCAGACACGGCACCTTAAATTGACATTTTTTTACTTAAACATGTCAAAATTGAGATTTTGATATTTTTCATATATTTAACACATGTACTTCGCTATACAACACATTGTTTTCGATATAGAGTCTTTTTTAATTTATGCAAGGTGCTTTTGCGTACATTAAGATTATGCATGATGCTGGTATGCCTCTAAAGGGTATGCAGGTAGCTCTGTATTCCTATGTAGGGTGTGCAGATGGGAAGGGGCATGCATATAAAGGATTTGCAGCTGGGTATAAGGTATTCCTGTGGAGGATTTGCAGCTGGGTATAAGGTATTCCTGTAGAGGATTTGCAGCTGGGTATAAGGTATTCCTGTGGAGGATTTGCAGCTGGGTATAAGGTATTCCTGTGGAGGATTTGCAGCTGGATGGGGCACAAATATATATGCCACCGTATAGGGGCTGTGGTGTATTGGGTTGACAGGCTTGGAGATGGTGAGGATTCATAAGGTTTATTGACTGGAACCTTTAACATGCCGTTTCGGCCATTACAGACCATCCCAAGCTGCCTTGGGGCAGGGAGCGATCCTTTACTTCCACTCCAGGGACCATTAATTTACACAGATGTATTTTTATGTTAACACGACAGAGGCATCCATAGAAAGGATGTGCAACTGGGTGGGGGCACACATATTAAACATGTGCAGCTGGATAGGGGCACATATATAAATCATGTGCAGATGGGTATGGGCACACATATAGAGGATGTGCAGATGGGTAGAGGCACGCATGTAATGGATGTGCAGCAGCTGGGAGGGGGGCACACATATAAAGGATGTGGAGCTATATAGGGACACATGTATAAAGGATGTGCAGATTGAAGAGGCACACAGAACAAATGTGTGCAAATATAAGGTATAACTGCAACAAATAACCATCGCTGATGCTGACAATGCAGTTTTGTATCTCCAGGTGGCTACACTACGGGTCCAAAGCAGTTGATCGACCTCCTGCGCCAGAGGTCGCGACCATACCTGTTCTCCAACACTCTGCCACCACCAGTAGTGGCCTGTGCCAGCAAGGTGAGAAGGTCAAGGGTGTGACAGGCACTAGGGTGTTAAAAGCAAGGTGTGTTTGGTTGTTACAAGATAGCTTTTGGTTTTTACAAGATTAGTATCCCTGATGTAACAGGCAAGATGTTTGGGGTATTGCAAACAAGGCTAGGTATCCTTGATGTTATAGGCAAGGTATTCTATGGTGTTATATGGAAGGTGTGGTTTGGGTGTCACAACATCATTATCCTTGATGTTACAGTCATGATGTTGTAGAGTGCTACCTGCTCCATATAGTTTGTCTTGTGTAACAGGGAAGGGGTTCAAGGGTGCTACAGGCTCAATGTCCTTGATGTTACAGTCATGGTGTTGTAGAGTGCTACCTGCTCCATATAGTTTGTCTTGTGTAACAGGGAAGGGGTTCAAGGGTGCTACAGGCGTCAATGTCCTTGATGTTACAGGCTCAATGTCCTTGATGTTACAGGCTCAATGTCCTTGATGTTACAGTCATGTTGTTGTAGAGTGCTACCTGCTCCATATAGTTTGTCTTGTGTAACAGGGAAGGGGTTCAAGGGTGCTACAGGGTCAATGTCCTTGATGTTACAGGCTCAATGTCCTTGATGTTACAGGCTCAATGTCCTTGATGTTACAGTCATGTTGTTGTAGAGTGCTACCTGCTCCATATAGTTTGTCTTGTGTAACAGGGAAGGGGTTCAAGGGCTACAGGCTCAGTGTCCTTGATGTTACAGTCATGATGTTGTAGAGTGCTACCTGCTCCATATAGTTTGTCTTGTGTAACAGGGAAGGGGTTTAAGGGTGCTACAGGCTCAATGTCCTTGATGTTACAGTCAGAGTGCTACCTGGTCATATTGTTGTCTTGTGTAACTTGTGTAACAGGGAAGGGGTTCAAGGGTGCTACAGGCTCAATGTCCTTGATGTTACAGGCTCAATGTCCTTGATGTTACAGGCTCAATGTCCTTGATGTTACAGTCATGTTGTTGTAGAGTGCTACCTGCTCCATATAGTTTGTCTTGTGTAACAGGGAAGGGGTTCAAGGGCTACAGGCTCAGTGTCCTTGATGTTACAGACTCAGTGTCCTTGATGTTACAGTCATGTTGTTGTAGAGTGCTACCTGCTCCATATAGTTTGTCTTGTGTAACAGGGAAGGGGTTCAAGGGCTACAGGCTCAATGTCCTTGATGTTACAGGCTCAGTGTCCTTGATGTTACAGTCATGTTGTTGTAGAGTGCTACCTGCTCCATATAGTTTGTCTTGTGTAACAGGGAAGGGGTTCAAGGGCTACAGGCTCAGTGTCCTTGATGTTACAGTCATGATGTTGTAGAGTGCTACCTGCTCCATATAGTTTGTCTTGTGTAACAGGGAAGGGGTTCAAGGGTGCTACAGGCTCAGTGTCCTTGATGTTACAGGCTCAATGTCCTTGATGTTACAGGCGTGGTGTTATAGAGTGTTGCAGGCTCAATGTCGATGTTACAGGCGGGGTGTTATAGAGTGTTGCAGGCTCGGTATTGTTGATGGGGTGTAACAGGGAAGGGGTTCAAGGGTGCTTCAGGCTCAGTGTCCTTGATGTTACAGGCTCAATGTCCTTGATGTTACAGGCAGGGTGTTATAGAGTGTTGCAGGCTCGGTATTGTTGATGGGGTGTAACAGGGAAGGGATTCTAAGGGGATGTTCCAGAATCAAAACATGCTGTCTTGGTTTGAATAAGTTTTCCTCTGACATTCATGGGTGGTGTCCCTTCCAGGCTTTGGATCTGATCATGGCTAACACTGACCTCCCACAGAAAGTGCTGACCAACACCAACAGGTTCCGATCCAGGATGATGGATGCAGGATTCAACGTTGCAGTACGTAGAACTCAGGTTCCTCTTGATGCAGAGTGTCTTGTTCATGTTCATATACTAAAGTACTGTCGGAAATAGAAAAAAACCTGTTTTTTTGCATTTATATCTACAATTTATGTAGTTAATATGTGAAAGTGTGAAATATCTGTTAAACTAAGTTCGGCCTAACTAAAGTCTCAGGGGGGAGGAGATAGGAAACGTAGAAAAAGGACTTTACTGAGGAGAGATTAGTGCAGAAATGAGTAATGCGGGGTTTTTAAGCCCAAAGCGACTTATTTTGAACAGACCATGGTTTTATGCAAATTAGTGTGTGATAATACTTTATTGCAAAGGACACTTTTTAAATACCCATTTCAAAAATAAACTTATCTTCATTATAAACAATAGCTGACGTAAACCATAATAACTTTAATACTGAAACTATTAAGGATGTAGCTACCATGGAGTCTCACTATCACTAGAAAAAGAAACAGGTAGGAGGGGTCGTCTCAAACGGTGTGTCAGCACGAGTTCGCAGACGGTGGTTGGGGTCGGGCTGGGCGATAGAGATATCAGTTGAGATAAGATAATCCCTTAGGGGAAATAGACTGGGGAAGCAAACGGCATGTCATAACAATTTACAAATACTATCCAGTCCTGTCGGTGATCGGGTGGTCATGCCACCTATATATTTTGAGACTTTTAATACGGAGGCTGATTTAAGCTTTTTTTCTATGGGTATCATAATCTTTTACATATCTTCTTATCTGTCAATCAATAAATGAGACAGATGTTCAACACACATGATAAAGCATAAAATATCTTTGAGATGACCCCTTGGGCCCGTAGGCAGTACATGCATTTCATGCCAGGTGAGTCGACGGTCTGTCGTCATACCTGGCTACGCGACGTAATTGCCATCTATAGTCTGATCTAGTTTTGCCCAATTTACGAGTAAACGCGCTTTTCTGGATATCCTATTATGCATTCCACTGAATGCCCAGTAAGGCTGATGTGGGTTATTTCGACATATGCTATTTGCAATTGTGTAAATTTTAGGGATACAGAGTATCAGCCTAAAAACAGTTTTTTTTCTATTTCAGACAGTACTTTAGTATTCACATTACCATTGGCAGCTCTTGTTACAGTATCAGTACATTTTGAATCCTGTCAATGATTAGGAAACATGAACTTTACTGATGCTTGTGTTTCCTCAGGGAGACCCAGACCATCCCATCTGTCCGGTGATGCTTGGTGATGCCAGATTGGCCAGTAACTTTGCTGATCAGATGCTGGGTAAGGGCGACTGCCAAATACCTGTAACACTATCCACCAGACACATCACTATCCACCAGACACATCATCCTATCCACTAGACACATCACTATCCACCAGACACATCATTATCATCCACCAGACACATCACTATCACCACCAGACACATCACTATCAACCAGACATATCACTATCAACCAGACACATCACTATCCACTAGACACATCACTATCCACCAGACACATCACTATCCACTAGACATATCACTATCCACCAGACACATCACTATCCACCAGACATCACTATCACTATCCACCAGACACATCACTATCCACTAGACACATCACTATCCACCAGACACATCACTATCAACCAGACACATCACTATCCACTAGACACATCACTCTACACCAGACATATATCCACCAGACTATCACTATCAACTAGACACATCACTATCCACCAGACACATCACTATCACCACTCTCCACTAGACATATCAGACACATCACTATCCACCAGACACATCACTATCCACCAGACACACACATCACTATCCACACAGACACATCACTATCCACCAGACATATCACTATCACTACCAGACACATCACTATCCACCAGACACATCACTATCCACTAGACACATCACTATCCACACATCAGAGACACATCACTATCCACCAGACACATCACTATCCACCAGACACATCACTATCCACTAGACACATCACTATCCACTAGACACATCACTATCCACCAGACACATCACTATCCACCAGACACATCACTATCCACCAGACACATCACTATCCACTAGACACATCACTACACTAGGACATCACTATCCACTAGACTATCACTATCCTACCAGACACATCACTATCCACCAGACACATCACTATCCACTAGACACATCACTATCCACTAGACACATCACTATCCACTATCACTATCTATCCACTAGACACATCACACATCACTATCCACTAGACACATCACTATCCACCAGACATATCACTATCCACTAGACACATCACTATCCACTAGACACACCAGACACACACTATCCACCAGACACATCACTATCCACTAGACACTACACACTATCCACCAGACACATCACTATCCACTATCCAGACACTATCCACCAGACACATCACTATCCACTAGACACATCACTACACATCACTATCCACAGACACTATCACACTATCCACCAGACACATCACTATCCACTAGACACTATCACTATCCACTAGACACATCACTATACCAGACACATCACTATCCACTAGACATCTATCCACTATCCACCAGACACATCACATCCACTATCACTATCCACTAGATCACTACACTATCACACTATCCACCAGACACATCACTATCCACCAGACACATCACTATCCACCAGACACATCACTATCCACTAGACACATCACTATCCACCAGACACATCACTATCCACCAGACACATCACTATCCACTAGACACATCACTATCCACCAGACACATCACTATCCACCAGACACATCACTATCCACCAGACACATCACTATCCACTAGACACATCACTATCCACCAGACACACACATCACTATCCACCAGACACATCACTATCCACCAGACACATCACTATCCACCAGACACATCACTATAAGATCACACATCACTATCTATCCTCTAGACATATCACTATCTACCAGACACATTACTATCCATTACACACATAACTATCCATTAGAGACACCACTATCCACCAGACACTTACTATCCACCAGACATGTCACTATCCAGTAAACACATCACTATCTACCAGACACATCATTATCCATCAAACACACCACTATCCATCAGACATGATACTATCCACGAGACACATCACTATCTGCTGTACTCATCAATAACAGTAAAAACACAAAGTTTCTACCAGACATGCAGCTCTCCACCAGACACTTCACTGGACACTCTCTATCCACAGGATATGTCACTAATGACTATCCACCAGACACATATTCAGTCTCAGATATTCCATATTCAGGAGTTTTCAGGTTTCTTTTTCTTCTTCCATAGATCGAGGTATCTACGTTATTGGGTTCAGCTTCCCAGTTGTACCCAAAGGTAAGTACAAAATTTGGTGCTTCCCAATTTGTTTCATCTGTTACTATGGTTACAATGTCCTCTGATGGTTTGGAAGGAGAGTCAAACTTTCACTTCATTTATGTTCGACTGCCAGTGCCAATCACTATTCTGTCTATTGTTCAATAATAATACCATTTTCATAAATGGCAACAAAAATAATGTGCAACATCTTTTATACGTTATAGTTATATAGAAAATGCATTCTTTATCATGATGTACAAAATGTGTAAACAAAAAAAGTTTTGATATTTTGTTTATTTACATGTGTAAAAAAATTATACTAAATCTTGAATTTAGAAGAAGGGAGAAAAGGATGTTGTCAAACCAAGTGGACATTTTAAGATATAGTATGGATAATTTTACAGGTGAGGTGAGGTGAAATTGGGTTTAACGTCGTGCTTGAGAATATTTCGCTCATATGACGACGTGCATGCGTGTGTGTATGTGTGGCTGCTTGTACTAGCCCAGACTTAAGCTGGTTTTATAGTGCTAGCCCACTGAGATACCATGTCGCAGTGAAGCATGAATACCCCACTCAGACACATTATACTGACTCCGAGCCGACCAGTCCTTGTTGTACCCATTAATGCCGAGCGCCTGGCAGGGACCAACAAGTACAATATTTTAACGTCTTTTGGTGTGACGCGGTTGGGGATCGAACCCGCGACCTTCCGCTCTCCGGGCGGACGGATAATTTTACAGTGAAAGATGAAACTTAATTCACATTTGAACTCTTACAAATGTAAAGCTATATAGAACTAATTGGATACTGTCATTGTCAATGTATTCTACATCCTCGATAATCTCCAGGGTATACATTACGATCAGCCTCCACTACACCCTGGATGCATCCACGGCTTGGCCCAATGATTTTATTACCTCCCTTTGCTGGCTTTCTATCCAGTCAGGTGTCTACGCTGGGAAGTTGAGCGTACCAATCACAACTCACTTTCGCTTTTTAAATCATCTAATTGATTAAACTTGGCAACACAATAATATATTGTTGCAGAGGTACTCTGAAAGAGGTAGAAGGGGTTCTTGCATATATATTTTTAAGGTTTCAGAACCTGTCAATTTGTCTGTATGTTTCCCCCCCAAATCTGAGTGGCACTGAGAACAAACTTTCGCGGCTGCGACCGCTATCTTTGTTGACACTGGCAAACTCGGATGTAAAGGCGGCTTAGCTAATTGGCTACTGTGAGAATGCGGAGCCGGCAAAGGGAGGTAATATAATTATCCGGCCAAGCCGTGGATGCATCCAGGGTATAGTGGAGAGTGATCGTAACATATACCCTGGAGATTATCGAGGATGTGTATTCTATAGACCTATATAAACCTTTTGGTAATATATTAAGGTAGGTATACTGTTGACATAGGATTAAAACAACAGTCACACAATCCTACTCTCATAGATTTGAATGTTTTTTCCACAGGAAAGGCAAGGATCCGAGTTCAGATTTCTGCCTCACACAGTGAGCAAGACATTGACAGGGCAGTAGATGCCTTCATTGACATCGGCAGAAAACTCAACGTTGTGCAGTGAAAGTCTCACACACATATCTCAGAGGATTGGTCAAATGTTCTATGGTTAAGGTATCTAACTGTCCTATTCTATTCACAAACTACAATATAATTAAATACTGCCAGTACATAATGCTTTGGGCACACTATGTTCTTCTAAACTTTCTGTGTAACTCCCAGAAGTCCAAACCTCCCTACACTTGCATGACGCCAACTGTACAGTTGACTATTGTTGAAGCAAAGTGCAGGGTTGGAATTACTAGGCTATGACATGTGTTGCATGACAAATATTGCAGATGTAATCTCATTTTATAGGCTGATACGTCGATGTTGACTCATCTCTGTTGGCTAAATATGATGTAGGAGGAAGGGAAGGGTGTCAATGATAAGCCTCCTTGTGCAGTCCTTGGCAAGACTGGCATGCAGGCAAGGGAGATTATGATTTTACGCCTATTTAACACCATTCCAGCAATAATATAACATGGGGCCAAACATGGGTTTCACACATTGTACCCATGTGGGGAATCGAACCAGTGTCTTCGGTGTGACTAGCAAACACTTTAACCACTAGGCTACCCCACCACGTTGTCCAGGTATGAATGGTTGGTGAGGGGAATAATTGACCATAAATAATTATTACATTTGTTCCTTTGAAACACCAAGACCAACTAGTAATTTTGGTGGGGCGGTGGGGTAGCCTAGTGGTTAAAGCGTTGGCTCGTCACGCCGAGGACCCAGGTTCGAATCCCCACATGGGTACAATGTGTGAAGCCCATTTCTGGTGTCCCCCGCCGTGATGTTGCTGGAATATTGCTAAAAGCGGCATAAAACCAAAACTCAGTCAGTCAGTCGGTCAGTAATTTTGGTAAAGAATTACAAAAACTTCATCTGACAAGGAAATGAGAAATACAAGATGAGGCAAGAAGTTCTAGAGAAATGTCAGGGATGCCAGTCTTGTTGTGACAGTATATTCATGATGATGATAAAATCAAACCGCTGACATGTTCTTGCATAATCAGCCACAACTATGCAATGTTTATAAATAAAAAAAAGAAATCATTATTGTAGTACTAATTGTTGTAAAAACAAATTCAAGATGATCACATAACAAAGTGATCCTTTGTTAAAGTGATACAATATATGTCTAGGGCATGATGTCATGATATTGAGATTATATATTTTGGAGGCATAATTTGATGTAGAATCTCGGTTGATGTTGCGGTTGTAGGGTTTACATAGGTTGTGTTGTCAAAGTTATATAAATATTTTATCTGACATTGTTGTACCTGTATATAGTACACTTAAAACAATGCACGAGTCATATTTCACAACCTTGTTGATGATGTGATACACTAGTTAGAAGAGAATATGTGAATGTTTGTATTTTAGATATCAAGAGAACAAAAACATTTGTTTCAACGTACAAATTGCCAGTATTTGATATTGCAGGCAATTCAAAACTTGATCATATTGATCACTGTGCTCACAAACCCAAATAACAGTATGTATGAGTAATGCCAGGCACATTTTGATTCAGTGTTTTTCAATACACAATGAAATTATTGATAGTGATATTGATCTCTTGAAACAATTGTAATTTTGACTGATGGATGATAGAACTTAACAGGGGGTATTTGTGTTTCAAGTCCTGTTTTGGTTCCATGGAACCTCTTTCTGTTACATATTTGTGTCAAACACATTATAGATCAGAATTGTCAAAATCATTGGAATATGATCTCTAGTAAAGAATTGTGTTATGATCCAGGGCCTAGATTTTCAAAACTCTCTTGGCACTAAGACAGTCATAAGTTAATGTTAATGTATGGCACTTTCAACTATCTTAGCACTAAGAGAGCTTCGAAAATCTAGGCCCAGATTGATGGGTATCAAGTATCTTTTGAAACTTAACGAGTAATGGGTATTCCATGACAGAAAGATAGATGTTGTGTATCTCATGAAGCAATACACCGGGTGTTGCTTATCACGACACAGAAGGGTGCATTTTGGGTATCCCATGATGAAGACTGAGGGATGTCATTTGTCATCAGCTGATCATATGACCAAATTTGTTAATACCTGTTGTCATTATTCAAGCCTTGTTCTGGTATGGAATATTGTGAACTTCACAATCAGCTTCATAATTTTATCAAAATCCCTTGCTGTCCAACATTCCATATTCATACTTTGTTATATTTCCGATTGTTTTTGTGGTGGTCCGGGCAATTTGTTTTTGTAACCTGCGATGCATATTGAGATCTCAGTCCATCTGTCAGTCATTGTGTCTGTTTGATGTGACCCAAATGGTGACATGATGTTAGCTGACAAAAAAGATTCTACTTGTCATACATTTGTATGTGACACTCATTATATTAAAAACTGGTTTAAGGGACCATTCATAATTCATGGGTGGGGTGGGGTAGAAAGTAAGGTAAGTGACCCCCCTGCATGTCTGGTACAAAATCAATGACCCCCCCTCCCATAATTTTTAAGCATAAATCTTTAATATTTACATGTACAAAATTGCTGACCCCCCTATTACGTGTGTACAAATTGCAGAACAAAATGGGTGACACACGCACACGCGCACGCACACGCACACACACACACACACACACACACCAATCATCAACCCCCAGGCCATAAACTATGATAAGCTTCATCTTACAGGTATGGCAATTTTCCGCAGATTTTATTTCAAATTGATCAATTCACACACCCCATTCGGTGACACATTATTAGGTTTTCAGCTGAAAATAGATTTTCCTGTTGCCATCCCCGATCTTATGACAGGTAAGAACTGTTGCAGTGTTGCCAACTGAACTAGTTGTCCAAGTCCTGTTTTAAGGTCTGTCCGAGTTACTGAATGTTTGGATGAGAATCTCATGGTTTTGATCAGGGTATATTTGTCTCAGAGTAGATTGGTGATTTGTTGACACATCACGGACATGTGCTCACATTAAGTGCTATTTTATAACTATGAATACATAGTTTCTGCTGTGCCTTTTCTGTTGTCCAGAGTTATTTTACATATTCTCTATATTGCTTTGTTGCACGTTAATCAGAAATATCTATGCTTTGTATTGCGTTTTGTCGATAAATTGTATCTGTATTGTGAATTAATGCATGTATACATATATTTTACATTTGGCATTGACAAGAAAATCAGATTATGAGAATAAAACCGGTATGCCCTTTATATATTGCTAATGCTGTTGTAAGAGCCATTGAAGAGATTATGTGAACAGTATTGTTCTATGAAATACACAATGCCATTTTCCGTCGTGGGAGCTGTGCCAATTAACACTTATCAGAGGGGTACACAAAGTCTGCAGTCTAGACTACCAGTTGTCAGACTTCCATTTTTGTGGAAGCCGCGGTGGCTTTGTGTGCTGGGGAAGCGGTGCCTGACTGTGCTGATTTGGTGGGACTCTGAGGGTGTGGGTTCAATCCCAGATGGGACTCAACCCCCAAAAAAGTACTAGAATCTGTACTTTACTGAGAAAGTGTAATCCCAAATATAACATATGTTACATTTGACCACTTTCTAATATGGCATTGTGTAATTCATAGCTTTCGGCCGTGGGAGCCGTGCCAATTAACACTTATCAGAGGGGTACACAAAGTCCGCAGTCTAGACTACCAGTTGTCAGACTTTTTGTGGAAGCCGCGGTGGCTGAGCGGTTTAGGTGTCTGACTTTGTGTGCTGGCAATTAGGTGCCTGGCTCTGAGGGTGTGGGTTTGAATCCCAGATGGGACTCAACCCCCAAAAAGTGTAATCCCAAATATAACATGTTACAGTATTGTTCTATGTTGGAATGTTCCATGCAGCATAGATCATGCTCATGCTATCAGCCATCGGTTGATCAGTGATCACTTGCAGGCTGCTGTGATATATAAAACCTGAAAGGTTCTACGTTTGGTTGGTTTATTGTTTAACGCTGCAATATTCCAGCTATATGACGGCGGTCTGTAAATAGTCGAGTCTGGACCAGACAATCCAGTGATCAACAGCATGAGTGAGTATGGTTTTACACTGCTTTAAGCAATATTCCGGCAATATCACAGCAGGGGACACCAGAAATGGGCTTCACACATTGTACCCATGTGGGGAATCGAACCTGGGCCTTCGGCGTGACGAGTAAACGCTTTCACCACTAGGCTACCCCACCGCCCTTCAACAGCATGAGCATCAATTCTACGCAACTGGGATACGATGACGTGTCAATCAAGTCAGCAAGCCTGACCACCCGATCCCATTAGTCGCCTCTTACGTATGTTTTATTGAAAACCAATTCTCACCCGGATCATCACAGGCTGGATGGCATTGTAGGGATGCAACTCTTCAATGAAATGCTGCACCTTGGACTGAAGGGAGGCACCAGCGGACGTGATGCTGGTAACTGAATACCATGCCACACCTACAAACACAGCTATGGTAATGGTAGACCGAGGTTCATCAAGGACCTAACCATAAACAGCATATCCTTGCACTGCTGAGGTATGCAATTCTTCACCTAATTATGGTGGTGCCTTAATCTTGGTTAAGTCCAGACACAGCAGCCATTATGCCCACCTGATGGTAACTTGGGGATGTGTTTATAAGCATATGCTGCATGTTCATTTTATGGAAACCATAATATATAAATTTTTATGTTTTTATTATTTTTATGCTAACATTTGTATAACGCCAATATCCAGCTCAGCTGCTCAAAGGCGCTTTGTTTTTCCCTGTTTTTGATGTCAATCTCAATGGCTCAATACAACTCTTGCAGCCACTATTAGTAATATAGTATATAGTAAATATTGGCAGACAAAATGGGCAAGCACGCATGAACTTCAAATAAATGTTTATTTCTCATATCATTTTATTCAAAGACATAAAATCAAATTGAATCAGGTCTTCAAGTTCATTTACAATGCAACAAATTGATCACTTGCTTATGAAGCAATTACAAATTAAGCTGTCCTTCAATGTTGATATTTTAAATCCATGCTAATGAATTTCCTGCACATATTTCATTTCAAAGGTGTCGCACTTGATGCATATAATTTTCAGATGAGAATTCTAAACAAAGTAATTCAATGGAGATTTCAAGTTCAGGTTCTTGTGAACCAACTAGACAATCTTTTCAGTCAGCAGTAAAGTAATGTCAATAAATATTTGGAAAAAAATATTCTGAACAAGTGATAAATTTGTTGAGACCAAAACTGTTATTTCTCAAAACAAAGGTTAACAGTTCTAACAAAAAAAGATGTTTGAATCACATTATAAACATGTACATCACTGCTAACGTGTAAGTATTTTAGAAATATTTGAAATAGTATACACACACCTGCCATTTACATTGAAATATTAATCTATTATAACTGCATAGTAAACCGTACTTACGAAATGGTGGTAGTAACTGAAACATCTCTCAACATTTGGATACACATCCAATATGGGTGCTCATGGGTGAATGAGTTTAGTTTTATGCCACACTCAGCAATATTCCAGCTATATGGCGGCGGTCTGTAAATAATCGAGTCTGGACCAGACAATCCAATGATCAACAGCAAGAGCATCGATCTACTCAATTGGGATACGACGTGTCCACCAAGTCAGAGAGCCTGACCACCTGATCCCGTTAGTCGCCTCTTACGACAAGCATGGGTTACTGAAGACCAGTTCTAACCTGGATCTTCATGGGTCGGTCGTACATCCCCAAAACACACTAAGCCAAGTACCAGAATTTCACCTTAACCCTGAATAACTCCATCATTTTACAGTGCTACCTGATATAAACTGTTAAACAGAAACCAACAACAACCATAAGAAACAAACAAGTTTATGCCAATACAATTGGCACATATGTATATTGCTTGAAACCATTATATGCACATGCAAAAATGAAAAACTTACCATGGATACAACACCAGCAGAGTGACATACAGCAGAAAACTTGCATGTCTAATTTACATATCTCTACAGCAGTACCACCTAATTTTAATGTTACACAGATGTTCAGAAGATCACACCTCCGAGGTTTAGGTTGAAAATGTAAAACAAGGCGAACGAAAAGCACAGCGGTCTACATAACTTGTGCCCAGTGAGTGAGTATAATTTTACGCCGCTTTTAGCAATATTCCAGCAGAAATGCACGTCAGCATTGTAGCCATGTGGGGAATTGAACCCTGGTCTTGACTGAGTAAATGCTTTAACCACTAGACTACCCTACCATCCCATTTGTGCCCTGTGAAATGAGACACTCTCTCAGGAGAATTAGGACAAGTTATAACTGCCAGACTCAACACATTATAAAATATTATTTAGTTGTCATTCAAAGTGATGATTAAATTTCTTGCTAGCACATCATGAGCTGAACCTGAGCACCATAACAGGCTCTCTATACATCCTGATGAATATAACAAAATTGCGAAAGTCAGTATTTATCTGCAGCACTAATTCTAACAGAATGGCATGAATAACATGAAATCATAACATATTGTCACAACAAACATACACTTTGTAACATTACGTTCTCATATGCAACGAATAATAATACAATCATTTGACATTAAGTTCTCATATGCAACGAATAATAATACAATCAATATTGTAAAGTTTGATACATGCAGATACACAGTAATTATGTACATAAAAATGAAAGTTATAAATTAGTTAATTTCTTATTTATTGACTAAAACATACATAACATATTACCACATTGTTCATGTTGAATTTCCAAGTATTAACAAATAGTATGATGTATGAGTGAGTTAAACTTCACTTTAAACAGTATTCCACTAATATCAAGACATGCCTGCTTATTGTGGGAGGAAAGCCCAGAGTAACGTAAGGTCTGAGATGTTTTACCACTCTGGTTTGACCATGAAGCACTGATACAGTGTAACAAACCTAACAACATAATCGGATCAAGCTGGAATCGGAACGACAATCAGTTTTCCAGAGTGTTCAAGGGACACAACTCTGCTCAGCCAGAGACATTATCTAGAAGACTTCATTTAAATACTGATTCCAGTTGCATAAATATAATAAATAGCAAATGAGTCCTTGGCATGCCTGTACTCGATTTTAACGATAAGGAAAAAAGTTGGATCAAATCTTTAAACATCCTCAAACAACTGCTGTACCTTGTTGACATTTGTTAATTATGTTGATTTAAAATCACCCGGCTGGTATTGGCAAATCAGGGCAAGTAATTTTACATGGCTGTACCAGAGTACACTAGCAATTTTAAAGTTATTTCCCCCTGGGAGATGTTTTAACAGATATAATAAGGACTCTATCAGATGAGGGATATATTTGAGTGGAGAATTTTAAGTGGGGGATAAGTTGGATATTACAGCACTAAGCCATATGATTTCTTTCAGTTTTATGCTTTAGAATGTTATAATTAAAGATTGTTGACACAATAATTGACTAAAACTCCTGGTTATCAGATGACACAGGGATTTCATCAAGTTCTAATATAAATATGAAATACTAGTATGTAAGTATAAGAATGTCAGAGTGCAATAAAAATAAAATCTCATTTCCAATTATGTAAAGCCCAAAATATGTATGTGCTTCAGACTTCATTCTCTGGCATTTGTGCACAACAATTTTATGAACAGCACTTTAAGAAAGGCTAGGATGAATCAATAAACTCAGTATGTCAGCAAAATTGGAACAGTGTTGATACAATTGGAAGTTAATAATACTTGAGAAATAAAATAATAATGTATACCTCCTGGAGCTCTAGATTTAGGACTGGAAAACCCAGAAACACATATTTAATTTATTGGGGGATGTGGAGAGGCCTGAATGCATTTATTGGTTGTACTTATTCAGGCCTTTCTTTCCTGAAATTAATTTTGCATAGAACTAGTCACAGTACAAAGTTTTGTGGCCATTGAACTGCAGCAACGTGTTCTTCAGCCCTGAGAGCACTCTACCCCCAAGGGAAATTGAGCCAACTGTGGGGCCCTTGAACAGGGCGTGTCCGTGGGTCATGTGACAGGGTCAGGGGTCGTTTGGTAAAACTGGCCTGCAGGTAACAGCACTAAAACACAGCATCATTTTCCAAAGGCTGAAGGCTAAACCTTATCACAGAGTTCCAGCTTTAATGTTTCCGCGCAGATTTTATTTGCTTTTTGATGTTTCCTGGTAGTTTTGTGACCCACACAGCTTGGACGTCCCCGACAGCTGGTGAATTGCCTTGTTCTCGTACACCTCTTCCTTGCGCTCACTTGGTGCCACGGCATTGTTGATCAGGGCTCGGGCCACAGTTTCGGTCGGTGTTGTTATTGCAGTAGGGAATAGGTAAGAGATTGGCTTGAGCAGCACGCGGGCGACTCTCTCGCCAGGACGATCTTCGGTTCTGTCACACATCAGGACCCTGGAACATACAGGTGTAAAAGTTTATTTCTTAATTCCAGACTCAATTTTCTTACTGAGTAACCGTAGTCTTAAAATAATCAAATCTGAAAACCTGTGGTCAAAATCATGAGCAATGTCAAGGGTCACTCAACCTGACCACCCTATCCATTAATTTGCCTCCGAAGACCTGAGTTCTTTTCCCCACATGGCTACAAAGTTTGAAGCCCATTTCTGGTGTCCCCGACCATGATATTGCTGGAATATTGCTAAAAGCGGCGTAAAACCATACTCACTCACTCATGACGTTACTAGAGACCAATTTTAACCTGGATCCACACAAGTTAAAATCTAAATCTTAGAATGAGTGAGTGAGGGAGTGTGGTTTTACACCACCTTTAGCAATATCACGTCTGGGGACACCAGAAATGGGCTTCCCACGTTGGACCCATATGCAGAATCGAACCCATGTTTTAGGTGTGACGAGCAAACGCTATAAATACAAGGCTACACCAGTGACCCCTTGAATCTAAATAATGTAGGCATGTCACTGCTGCCTGTCCTTTCGTTGTGTAAAGTGCAAGTCAGCAATACAAAGCATGTACAATGATCCACTGCATGTGGACACAATGACATACAATAGGCAGTTCATACATCAGAACCCTAAAATCCCGATTTCAATTAATCTTACATACGTAGGTTGCGAGAGACAGTATTTGACCTCCTTACCCTGGTCTGTAGATAGAGATCCTGTCAAAGTGCATGACCTTCAGGGCCTCTTCCACCTGACCCTGAAACATACAAACAGGGGCATGAATGACAAAACGGGGGCATGGATCACACAATGGGGCATGGATCACACAACGGGGCATGGATCACACAACGGGCATGAATCACACAATAGAGGCATGAATCACACAATAGGGGCATGAATCACACAACAGGGGCATCAATCACACACAACAGGGGCATGAATCACACAACAGGGGCATGAATCACAACAGGGCATAAATAGAGGCATGAATCACAACACAACAGGGCATGAATCACACAACAGGGCATGAATGAATCACACAACAGAGGCATGAATCACACAACAGGGGCATGAATCACACAACAGCATGAATGACACAACAGGGCATGAATCACACAACAGGGGCATGAATCACACAACAGAGGCATGAATCACACAACAGGGCATGAATCACACAACAGGGGCATGAATTACAACACATCACAACAGGGCATGAATCACACAACATGGGGCATGAATCACACAACAGAGGCATGAATCACACACAATGGGGCATATAGAATCACACAATATGGGCATGAATCACACATCAACAGGGCATGAATTACACAACAGGGGCATGAATCACACAATGGGGGCAAGAAATGAACAGTGGCATGAATCACACAAAGGGGGCATGAATCACACAACATGGGCATGAATCACACAAAATGGGCATGAATGACATAACAGGGGCATGAATGACACAACTGGGGCATGAAACATGAACAGTGGCATGAATCACACAACACTGGTAATGAATCACATGAAAGTGGCAAGAAACAAATACAAAATACGCTACTTCTTGCACAAAGTATTAAATGCTGAAGTGCTGAAGATGAATGGTTACTGCTGAAGTTTGTGGTGACCCTGACCTTGGTCCTGGTGTACAGCATGCTGCTGTTCTTGTTGGCTCCCTGGGAGGACACCAGGCTGAAGTGCTTACAGCCCCTTGCCTTGGCCATTTCAGCAGCAATTAGCACGTAATCGTGGTCGACACGAACAAAGCCTTTCTGTGAAAAATACAACAACAAACAATTATCATGAGGTATGATTATTTGACTGACCTTCATGATCATACTTGCTGCAAATAACTGATAACTTTCACTACAACTAATATATCCAAGCTCTGATAATACTTCCATGTGGCTAGCTGCTGCACTAACTGGACCTTCTGTGTCACTAGCTGCTTCACCAATTGGACCTTTTCTGTGTCTGTGGTGGTGTGTGGTCCTGTGTATAGAGCCAAGGTCACAAATCTGGTGAAGCTAAGCAACGTTGGTCACAGAGAGTCCTTGGATGGGTGACCATGTTTAGCAGCTTGACTTCTGAGAGTTTCTAGGACTTCAGTCCTGCCCCACAATGAAGCACATGTGATACATGTGTTCTCCCCTTAGGCAAGTGAGTTTGTTCAAAATTGCCTCTGTTCACCCAGCAGAAAATGGGTACCTGGTGGGATAAGTCATATGACTATAACCAGCAGCTTGGGTTATCCAGGGTAATAATGCTATTATATTATATTACAATATGTGCTATTCATTGTTAGCGCTATGAGCATACCTGTAGTGGAGTTTGGCACTATAAATGGACACATTATCATAATTACTATGATTAGCAGTTGCATTATCTGAGCCTTCTGTATAACTGACCACTACCTGGCCAGTCTGTGTGACTAACTGCTGAATTACCTGAGCCTTCTGTATAACTGCCCACTACCTGGCCAGTCTGTGTGACTAGCTGCTGCATTATCTGAGCCTCCTGTATAACTGCCCACTACCTGGGCAGTCTGTGTGACTAACTGCTGCATTATCTGAGCCTCCTGTATAACTGACCACTACCTGGCAGTCTGTGTGACTAACTGCTGCATTATCTGAGCCTTCTGTATAACTGCCCACTACCTGGGCAGTCTGTGTGACTAACTGCTGCATTATCTGAGCCTTCTGTATAACTGCCCACTACCTGGCAGTCTGTGTGACTAACTGCAGCATTATCTGAGCCTTCTAGGTGACTAACTGCAAGATCTTCTTGGTCTTCTGTGTGACTGGCATCTGCACTGAACCTTCTGTGAGATTAGCTGCTGCACTAACTGTGTACCTCTGTTCTACTCACCACACCAGCCTTGCCACGAGTCGTTCCCAAAGCACAGTACCCTGTATCCAGACCTTCAAAAACCTCAGCATGCTCCTCCAGCTTCTCAAAATCAACCACCTTTTGCTCCTACAAACAAGACATCAGCCTAAAATGTGCTTCTCAAGACATCTTCTTGGGCATGATCAGTAAACTTCATCCCTTAAATCCCTCAATTGTTATGGAAGTGCAGTATTTCAATATATCATGAGCCACTACTGTTAGGTACATACACTAGGACTGAGGGCAAAAACAAGCTCTATCACTACTGCTCCCAGATTTGATGCTCAGATTTGATGGATTTTATGGCGCTTTTAGCAATATTCCAGCAATATCACAATGGGGAACACCAGAAGTGGGCTTCACACATTGAACAAATGTGGGGAACCAAACCTGGTTCTTTGGCATGACGAGCGAACGCTTTAACCACTAGGATACCCCAGTCTTGTAGAAATTGGAAATTGGTTGCCTATAACAACAGTCAATAACTATGGCTTTACGTTACTCTTGGCAATATTCCACAAAATCAAAGCTAGAGACACCAGAAATGGGGTTCACATTTTGTACCCATGTGGGGAACTGAACCTGAAAAAGACAAGCGAACATTTTTGCCACTTTGCTATCCAACCACTAGTGCTACACAGGCGATTTCAGGAATATGGCTATATGTTTATGATGTTGTCAAGTTCAAATTGTTTTCTTGATAATCACTATGCAATTTCATGCTTGAAAGCTTTTCCATGACAAAATACCTATGATGAGTGAACATTTTCTATCTGTATCAAAGAACTTAGTCAGTTCATAATACATTAATCCTCACATGTTTACACCACTTCAAAAGGAGGTAAACAGGTAAAACAATGTTTGATTGGTTAGTTGGTTTAACACTGCACTCAGCAATATTCCAGCTATATGACAGCGGTATGTAAATAATTCAGTCTGGACCAGACAATACAGTGATCAACAGCATGAGCATCGATCAACACATTTTGGACACGATGACATGTACCAACCAAGTCAGGGAGCCTGACCACCTGATCCCGTCAGTGGCCTCTTACGACAAGTATGGGATGCTGAAGACCAATTCTAACCCGCATCTTCACGGGCAAAACAATGTTTGATGGCCGTGATTTAGGTATTGGTTGTACATGTTAGTTATAGACCTAATCAGAGACCATATAATAGATTATATTATATGGTCTCTGACCTAATACAGACAATACCTCAACAGTTCATATCATAAATATACTTTTCAAACAACCAAGGTAGCACCACAACCAAACATTGCCCATAACATCAATCAGTAGATTTCCTGCTCCAAGCTTGTTTTTTTTTCGGACTGCTGAAATACACATAGCAACAAAGAAACAAATTCTTGCATAACCACAAGCCACATACACATCTGTTGACAATTTATAGGCAATAACAGCCTGCATATTCACTGTCACTTCCACTGGTTTGGACATAAAGGAACACTTACAAATTCAGGTCCAAAGCTAGGATCCAGCTCCACTTGACGTCTACCGATCAGAACCACCCTCTTGTACAACTTGGCAGCAGCCAACTCCTTCATCAGCTCCTTGCCCACCTCGCCGGTGTAGCCAAGGACGAACGCCTGATGCCCCTCTGTTCTGTATCTCTCCCAGTTTGACTGAGCAGCCTCGGCCATACTGAAACACAACCATCGGTCAGTGAGCGAGTGAGTAAGTGAGTGAGTGAGTTTAGTTTTATGCCACACTCAGCAATACTGCAGCTATATGGAGGCGCAGAGCTCCAGATAAGATTTAGCTCATGTGGGTACTGTACCCACTGTATTTTTTTAATGTTGAGTGGGTATTTCCTTTTCCGTTACCCACTGCTTTCAAACATGTGCGTATTTCAGTCATTTTACTCACCTAAGTATTATGTGACTGAGTAAGTTTACTAAGAAGGTATGTTCTGCCTTATGACTATGTCATACCTAATCAAAACCAACTTAAATATAATGGAAATGAGTTCATAAAAAATCCCTCATCCTAAATGGACAGTACAGCACTTGTCCTATACTAACAGTACAACTTGATAGCAATCGATGTCTTTTTCATTACGCAAGCGATTTTTATAAATATATTCCGTACGCATTTGTTTTAACTTTTTGCATATCTCACATTTTAAATGCGTAATTGGTATGCAACAATTATTTTTCAATGCGTAATTGGAAAGTTTATATGCGTATTTTACCCGGATACGCAGCTTATCTGGGCCTCTGGAGGCGGTCTGTAAAAAATCGAGTTTGGACTAGACAATCCAGTGATCAACAGCATGAGCATCGATCTACACAATTGGGATACGATGACAAGTCAGCAAGCCTGACCACCCGATCCTGTTAGTCACCTCTTAAAGAGAGGAACAGCCAGGTGTACGCGAAAACACGAGCACAAGTGCCAACAAAGTTATTGATTCATTTAGCTGTGCTGTGCCGTCTCCATCCTTTCTCGCACACCTGGCTGTTCCTCTCTTTGCAGTCATCCCTCGTAACAAATAGTGAACTGTGCAAATATTTCAATGACAGTTTGTTAAACAACTTTTTTATTTCTCTGACATAAATTCTGCAAAAACATCACAGAGTTGGTCTAATGTTTGATTATGATCAGCTTTACATTTAGTAATATATGTTTATTAGTTTTCGCAGTTAGATAACAATTCATCGGTCCGCTTATAAGCCAAATGGACTATAGTACAACACAGGAAGTGAGGAATGACATCATGATTTAATCAACTTTAATAAAGGAAAATATTATGGGAAACATTCCAGTTGAAAACAAGCATTGTCACTAAGGTGACATAATCCCCCACAGCAAATTATCAAATCAAACTTATAAAGTAATGAAAGTTTAAGATGAAGTTAAATGTCAACAAAAACATGACCAGTCAACCTCTCTTGATATCTTGCTCTTTAGTTGTTCAAACACACTCATGTTTTCAAGACTGACTTTGACCTTGACATGAATGTCATAGTGTATGAAATATGCACAAATAGTACTAAAGAAATTGCTTATTGAAAAACATTCAAGGGAAGTCTTGAAAGTCTATGAAGATCCAGTGAATCGTTCTTGAAATATCTTGCTGACAATTCAGGTGAACATGCTGAAATCTTCAAAGTGTCGTCGTGACCCTGAAAATTATGTGAAGGTCACCAAAATTGACTGGGCCCTGGGCCTTCCCTAGATGAAGCTTGGTGTCAAATATGAAGAAAATCCAGTGAATATTTTTTGTGATAACTTAACATGACTATCTTAACATGCTGAAATTTAACATGCTGAAATCTGTGACCTTGAAAATTAAGTGAAGGTCACCAAAATCGACTAGGCCCTGCGCCTTTCCTAGATAAAGCTTGGCATTGAATATGAAGAAAATCCAGTGTAGCGGTTCTTGAGATAGCTTAACATGCAGGTAAAACGTTAAAGTCCCCTTGTGACCTTGAAATGAAGGTCAAGGTCACCAAACCTGACTTGGACCTATCTTATACTGTGATGAACCTAGGTACCAAATATGAAAAGAATCTAGTGAACGGTTCTTAAGATATTCCAATTCATACGTAAAAGCCTAATACTATATCCCCCGCAGCTAAATGCGGTGGGGATAAAACCAAACTGACAGCTAATTTACTGCAGGCCACAAGGGCCTGCAAATATTTGAAACTTCCGGCCCGATACGATAACAACCGACGCTGGGCCTCCGGGCCGGCGATTATTTCAAACGCTGTTTGTAATACAATTTGTTTGTATCTGCACTGTGACATAGCTCTGCCTTGGAGACATGTCAGTTGAGATACATCTGTACATACAGGTACTGAACTGCAACAACTCCAAGATGGCTTTATTCTGCATCACATTAGTCCAACCGGGCTTCCATCTCCAGCGACAAGGCCATTAGGTGACACTGCAGCAATCTGTGTCATGTATATTTATTAGATTGTGTCAGTATCCTTAATGGAGGTTAAAGTACTGTAAACTGACAGATTTTTTCAACCCAGCCAAATGCAGTGATTAAGTTTGAATCCAAGTTAAAATTAGTTAATTTGGCAGAGGGATAGCCAATAGAAAAGCAAGCTCATCATGTAACATTTTGATTTAAATAAATAACAATATGGCCAATAAAACATAAAAGGATTTTATTTTTGAGCAGTCCAAACTTTGGGAAAATTAATTTTTATTTTTTTTCTTATTCTTGAAAAATTACGACCGGCGGATCCGTAAAACAAGAAATCAAATTGGTCTGGCCTAAATAGAAATAACAGTACATCATCTGTGCAATTACCAATCTATGTTTGTCACCTTACAACCCTATTTTTCTGTACACATCTGAATTTACTGATGAAAAGCAGGCATCACACATGTGCTGAACTCTACCCCAGTGAATAATGTACAGTCCTACATCCTACTAACTGTTAATGAGATATGTATGTAGCTCCTGTAAGTCATGTCCCACTGCAACGCCCAAATAAATACAAAATAGAAGTCACTTGACACATTTCTAGCAGAATTTGTTAGAAATGACTAAATTTGGTTTATAGTTAACTAACAGATTGGCAACAAAGGGAGCAATATTATATATACCCAAGGAAACCCATCAATATCCACCATGGATGACAACTTATTAATGTATCTGAAGCCCTGGTTGATCCAGGAAGGATATTTATAGTCCTACTGAAAACAAACATTTCACATTATGACTAACTATTGGTGATGCATTTTCCACAAATTAACAAATCCCAAAATTCACAAAAAGCTGTGTCAATTTCATAATACCGTTTTCACATTGGTCAACATGAAGCTGAAAATGGATGAACACCCCACCCAAATCCATGTACGCTTCACTGACAAGAATCATGAGCCTGTAATGGAGAATAACTGCAATGCTGAGCACATGCTAAAGTACACAGGTACGCACCCCTTTCCACTCAGTGCTGCGGCTCCCATGTTGCTACCTTGTTCTGGACTGGTCAAGAGTTGCACAGTGCGGTCAACACGGCTAAAACACCTGAGTCACGGCAATCAATAACCTGTGACTTCATTCCACAAAAGTAGGTCACCACACAGGTGAACCATACCTGAAGTTTGTTTAGTTTGTTTGATGTTTAACGTTGCACTCAGCAACATTCCAGCAACATTCCAGCCATATGGTGGTTGTCTGTAAAGAATCTAATCTGGAGCAGACACTTCACTGATCGACAGCATCAGCATTGGTCTACGCAACTGGGATACGATGACATGTGTCAACCAAGTCAGCGAGTCTGACCACCCGATCCCGTTAGTTGCCTCTTACAACAAGGGTTGCTGCAGATCAGTTCTAACTCGGAACTCCAAGTCAAATCTAAGTCAAGAAGAACATGCAGACTAATTCAATGCAGTGATAGCTACGTATACATTAAGTCATGGAAATCAGCTGCACAGATCACAATGTCACTGTTCCGTTGTCCTTGTGCTGTAAACATGGCAGTCTGCAAAACCGGTAAGACAGATTTCTTTAATATCTGAACATATTTTTGATGTCTGTTGCACAATTGCCATAAATGGTTTATAAACGTTATTTCTGACAAAAATTCGGCACACATTTTTTTTCCCAATTTTTTCAAAATAACAAATCTTATTTTGTTGTAACCATAGCAACACTGTTTGAAATCTGATAATACTTTGTTTATAAGCCCCCGGGAAGATTTTGACAAGAAGTCTGTATAAAATTAGTATTAACATAAAATCAAAATGCTTTGCTGTGCTGCCATGATTTTTTTCAAATGTTAATATTAACTTTGTTGTAACCAGTCATGAATGGACTATTGCGATGTTTTATTAATCTGGAGAAGAGAAGTTCCAACGCTAGTGTTTTGGCAGTTGACAAGGTCAAGATTACCTGAACATTACACTTCACTTACCTGGCAAGCTCGTCAGACATTATTCGTAATGAATATCTGCAGGTGTGATCACAGGTGGTAAACGAGAAAGCGCTTTCGCCATCAGGACTGTACTCGGGATATATTTCAGCAACATATACCTTATTACCATGGAAACGGTAACACATGAGCGACAACAACAAAACTGTAACAATGCTGACAAGTCTGTGACTGATGTATCGATTCGCTGCTCCTGATTTAGCTATTAGGACATGCACCAGTGCAACCAAATATTTATGTCTAAAGGCATGTGCATTTAATTTTTTTTTAACAATTCAAATTTCTGTCTTGACTAACCCTTACTTTTTTGCACAAAAACAACATCTGAACACCCTGTGTAACTGTAAGCTTCATGTACTACACTTCACTAATCCCTGTGTTATATGTAATTCGCCATGCTGTCTTGGGCTTAGTGTCAAACGGTAATTCAAGATAATGTGCACATGTACCAATTACCGTACGTCTCACACAGTCACAGCAATACATCAGTGATTGACTAATCATGACACAGGGCCCTCAAAGATCAAACATTTTATTTATTTAGAATATGCATCTATACTTTAACTTGGATAAATTCATAAGACAAGAGGGCGACCTGGATTTGTCTGCTGCAGGTGACAGGGCTCAATTTAAGGAAATAAAACCTACTTGCACTTGGTGCAACCATTGGTAAATAACCTTGCATAAGATTAAAACAGGTTGCACATTCTGAATGATATAAAATTATATATAACGATT